CACAGTCCATGGGGTAACACAGAGTTGGACATGACTGAAGTGAGTTATCAGGCACGCAGCACACACACACATGTATATGAATAGAGATAAGTAAATGACCAGACAGTCATCCAGTGGAATCCATGGAGATGTCGAAAGATGCTGTGATCTTGGGTGCTGTGTTCCTATCCATGATATATATATACAGTCTCCTCTTTTTTCAGCAGCTCCACGTTTCTGCCAATATCTGCCTAACAGGTCTCTCTGCTTGCACTCCATCCTGCCCCCCAAACCCACCCCTATTCACTCTGTGACCACAGAACAGACAGAAAAATCCTTTGGAAATGTAGATCCCTCTCCTACTCAGCACTTTCCAAGTGGCTTCTGATTGCACTTTGAATAAAATCTGAAGTCCTTACCCTAGAGCCTCCCAAGGCCCTATATGGTCACTACCTTTTGACTGTGCCAAGCATGCCTCAGGGCCTTTGCATTTGTTATGCCCTCTGTCTGGGAGATTCTTCCCGAAGATTGGCAGATGAAGAATCTTCAGTTCTCATCCTCTTTGTCCTTGTGGAATCCTGAGACACAGGAGCTGTGACAGAGGGGGTCCTGACTTGGGGATCTGACTTTCCTTAGTTATTACTGATGGCTTCATATGATCTAGACTAGGGGGTCCCCAACTTCTGGTGATCTGAGGTAGAACTGATGCAATAATAGAAATAAAGTACATAATAAATGCAATGCGCTTGAATCATCCTGTAGCCACTCCCCTAACACTTCACCATCCATGGAAAAATGGTCTTCCATGAAACTGGTCCCTGGTGCCAAAAAGGTTGGGGTCCCCTGGTCTAGACTATCGCACATGGGTGATGGAAGTACCAAAATGAACAGAAACCTCTCAGAGTGAAAAGTGAAAGTGATAAGAGAAACATGAAATTCAAGAGAAACATGAAGTTCATATTTCAGAAACATGCGCTTTCCTCTGATAATCTTGGCTCGTATGTCAAGTTGGATGCCACTTCTCTTCCAGATCATCGGAGTTTTTTGCAAATACTAATGCCTTTCACATGAAATTGCTTTCAACATATTCCAGAGGACTCAATATTGTCACATAACTTATTCTATTGGTTAAAGGTCAAGTGTATAATAGTGAGAACTTTGAAACATGGAAAATCTACTTGAACACATTCCACAGTCGGAAAAATAAAAATGAACACAGGTGAACTTAAGGGGAAACAGGAAATTCCAAAGCAGTGACTGGAAGGTCAGCCCTCTGAGAATAAGATAAGTGCATTTCGTCTGGCAAATGTCTATATTCTTTCTTTCTTTTTTTTGAAGCAGCTAGAATAGCCTGGAGAAGCGCAGGTCAGGAGTGTGGTGTATAAATAGTACCCATCTGAATCCTTAAATCAAACACAAGCAACTGATGGGACTTCCCTGGTGGTCCAGTGGTTAAGAACCCACCTGCCAATGCCGAGGACATGGGTTGGATTCCTGGCCCAGGGAACTGAGATTCTACATGACACTGGGCAACTAAACCCATGTGCCACAACTACTGAGCCTGAGACCTAGAGTCTGGGTTCTGCAACAAGAGAAGCCATCGCAATGTGAAGTCCTCGCATCACAACTAGAGAGTCGGCCCTGCTCACCCGAACTAGAGAAAGTCCGCACATAGCAACTATGAGCCAGTGCAGCCAAAAAAGAGAAAAGAAAGCAACTGGTAAGATGGGGAAGATGGGAATTTCAGAGACCCAAGAGGGGTTACCCACAGATAGTTTAAGATTCTTGGTAAAGGAAAGCCCTTCCAGCTCTCTTCCCATTTTATTTATTTTTTAACTTAATTTTTATTTTACATTGACGTATAGCTGATTTACGATGTTGTATTTCAGCTAGTGGTTCAGTTATACATATACATATATTCCTTCTTTCTCAGATTCTTTTCCCATATAGGTTGTTACCAAATATTGAGCAGAGTTCCCTAGGCTCTACAGTAGGTCCTTGTTGATTTTCTATTTTCTATATAGTAGTGTGTATACAGTAATCCCAAATACCTAATTTATCCCTTTCCTCTTTGTTCCCATTTTAGATGGGAAGAACTTTCTTGAATCTCTTCATTTCCCCCACTCCCTTCTAAGCTTGTTAAGAAGCTTCCCTGGTGGTTCAGTGGTTAAGACCCGTGCTTCCAATGTAGGGGGAGCAGGGTCGATCCCTGGTAGGTGAACTAATCCCACATACCACACAGTGTGGCCAAAAAATAAAAATATAAATAAATTTTAAAAATTCAAAAAAAATAGTATGAGGCAGCAAGGAGGGGCCTGAAAAGGCACAACCAAGGTGTGTCTGGGAGACAGTCAAGGTGAGGACAAATAGCCAGTTACTTTGACTGTAGTTTACTTCTCACTTGGCTTCCCCTACAGGTCCTGTGCCTCTAAGGGGTGGGGGTGATGTGAAGCTCTGGAATTCCACTCCCCAAGAGGGCTGTGTGCATGCTAGATGGCTTCAGTGTTGTCTGATGCATTGTGATTCTATGGACTGTAGCCCACAAGGCTCCTCTGTCCATGGGATTCTCCAGCAAGAATACTGGAGTGGGTAACCATCTCCTACTCTAGGGAATCTTCCCAACCCAGGGATTGAACCTGCATCTCTTATGTCTCCTTCATTGGCAGGCAGGTTCTTTACCACTAGTGCCATCTGGGAAACCCCCATAAGGTCTGCTGCTGCTGCTGCTAGGTTGCATCAGTCATGTCCGACTCTGTACGACCCCACAGACGGCAGCCCACCAGGCTCCTCCGTCCCGGGGATTCTCCAGGCAAGAATACTGGAGTGGGTTGCCATTGCCTTCTCTGCCCATAAAGGCTAGGTCTATGCTTTACACATAGTGTAAAGTGTCACATAGTGACCCCCAACCCTTGCCCTTGCTAGCCAACACCAGTTACTTGCTGGACATTTCTGAATGAATGAATGAACATTTCTTAAGCTCCTACTATGGATCAGACTCTGGGGACCCTGTGGAGACCAGTTAGACAGAGAGTTTGCTCCCGTGGGATCTGCAGTCTAGTGTTAAAGGGATGAACATGTAAACAAGAGTCCCTCCAAGATGAGCTTTCTGAGTTGAGATGGACTCCCACCCTTCTCTGGGCTCCCCTGGTGGCTCAGACGGTAAAGAATCCACCTGCAATGCAGGAGACCTGGGTTCGATCCCTGGGTTGGGAAGATCCCCTGGAGGAGGGAATGGCAACCCACTCCAGTATTCTCGCCTGGGAAATCCTACGGACAGCAGAGCCTGGTGGGCTACAGTCTGTAGGGTCACAAAGAGTTGGACATGACTCAAGTGACTTAGCACAGATGCAGCTGCCTTCACAAAGGAGGTGACTTGCAGACAGAGCTAGAATTGGCCCCAGAACTTGGAGGTCAGGGGAAGGGGACATTCTGGAAGTTGTGTTAACATAGTAAATACTCTGTTCTAAGCTAGCACCTATGTTTATGTCGTGATTGGGAGATGGGAGCTATTTAAGATTAAGTGGTGGAGGGAGGGGGTTGCTTCCTAAAATGCCAGCACTGCAAAAAACTGTTACTTGGGAGAAGCTGACTGGGTTGTTGTCAGAATAAATAATGAGGAATATGGGAATGTCCCCAGAACAGTGCCAAGGTGCAGTAAGAGTACAGCAAATGAAACTTCAAAATAACTCCCACCACAGGTTTCCCTGGTAGTCCAGTGGTTGAGGGCCTGCCTTGCAATTCAGGGGACATGAGTTCCAAAGCAGGTGGTGGTGGGAGGGCAGGATCCCCTTGCTGGGCAACTAGGCTGGTGCACCCCACACACCCTGGGGCCTGTGCTCCACAAGAGAAACCACTGAAGTGAAAAGATTACATGCTAGAAAGAGCCCATGGGCAGCAACGAAGGCCCAGCGCAGTAAAAAAAAAAGAAAAAGATCCTATGGCAGTTTCCTCTCCATCTCCATAGCAATCATCATCTCTTGAAACATCACCTTAATCAGTCCTCCTGCTTATACCCTTGCTTCCTGAAGACTATTCTCAATGCTGCAGCCAGACTCCTATGACAGTCAGAGTATGTCCTTCTGCTCACAACCTTTCAATGGTCTCGTGTCACCCCAGGTAAAAGCCAAAATCGTCATTGGTCTCCAGGAACCCACCTGAGCTTCTGCCTCTTCCTTCATTGACCTTGTCTTCTACTCTAGGTCTCAAGTGAAAAGACACTGGCCTCTCAGCTAGTTCACGAACCACATCCAACCCTCTCCTGCCTCAGGACCTTAGCACCTGCTGTTCCCTCGGCCTGGAAACTTTCCTCCAGGTTACTAAGTAGCTCACTCCTACCTCAAGTTATTGATATAATAACCTGTTTAATGGGACCTTCCCTGACAACCTTTTTCAAATAGAAACACTCCTCCCATGTTTTCTACCCTTCCCTGATTTTTCATAGCACTTATTACCTTTTATTACGTGATTAATATTATATTACTATTTTTTATGTATGATACTCATTGGTAAACTGTTTTTTATTGTACGTATTATACTATATATGACATTTATATAATGTATTTGTTGATTGACCCCGCTCCTCCCCACACCTGTCCCCCACCCCCTTATCTCTTGTTGACTGAGGGCAGGAATTACGCTTCCCTCGGTGATGTGTCTGCAAAGCCTGCACAGTGCCCGGTACCCGGCAGGCGCTCGGTAAAGACGGGTAGGACCAAAAAAAAAAAAAAAAAAAAGGTATTTTGGGTATGTTTTCTTTCAGAAAATAACCAAACAAATTTAAAAAAAAAAAAAAAAAAAAAAAAATCAATCGTGAACGAAAGAACACATGAACCAGCCTGCGGTCTCTACCTCCACTTCGGGCCCTGGTTTAACCCCCTCGCGCTCCAGGTGAGGCTGGGGAGCCCAGCCCAACGCGCCTGCGCAGCACCACCTGGTGGGCGCGCGCGGGTTGTAGTCCCGGAGCGGCGGCACGGCTGCTCCGCGTGCAGTTGCTCCACTTCTGCCTCGCCGCTCACCGGAGGTCCCGCTCCCCGGCCTCTGCTGCCGCCGCCGGCTCGGTCCCCAGCCCAGTCCCGGTCCCCCGCGCAGCCCCGGCCTTCCCCGCCGCAGCCATGTCCAAGGCACCGCGGACCGGGCGGGAGGAGATCCTGGAGTGCCAGGTGATGTGGGAGCCTGACAGCAAGAAGAACACGCAGATGGACCGCTTCCGGGCGGCCGTGGGCGCCGCCTGCGGCCTGGCACTGGGTGAGTGCGGGGCGCGCGTCCCGGGGGGCTCCCCGGCCGCCTCTTGGCTGGACCAGGGGCTTCCAGAAATCGGGCTCCTCCCTTGGCCGTCCGAGGGACCACTTGGCAGAGAGACACTCCTCCTGGAGTCCCGGGAGCCCCCTTTTCCTGGACTTTGGGGTCAGGGCCCCTCTTAGTTGTTAGAATGGTCTCCTGATTTTCATCTTCCCGCCTTTGGGGGTTGGAGGAGCCACTGGACAGGGGCGCCCCCTCCCTAGAGGGTGGGACATCTTCTGACTGTGGGGTTTTGCCCGCGTGTCTGTGCGGGGTGTCACTTCCTCTCTTTTCAGGGGACCAGTCTCCTCTTCTCTGCAGTATCCATCTCCCTGGTAGGGTAGCCCCTCTGGTCTTGGAACCCCAGTGGACCGAGTGATCCCTTGTTAGGCATTCCTGCCTGTGAGGAGTGCTCCCTGGAGTCTTACCCTCCCATCCCCAGTCTCATCTGTCTCTCTGACCCAGGTCTTCTTTGACCCTTAGCTCTTCCCTTCTGTTGAAGGGTGGGTCACTTGCCAGCCACATTACCTGGTGCTGACCCATCACGGTGCCCCCGCCCCCCACCCCTCCAGGCTGACACTGCTAGAGGCCAGCCCGGATTCTGGGCATTGAGGAGATGGATGATGCTCAGGCAGGAGGCTGTCTCTGGGATTGGGGTGGAATTCCTTTCCCTTTCGTGTTAACACTCCCAGCCCCAAACCAAACCTAGCCCAGGACCCCCCTTCCAGCTCCCTCCCTGTTCTCAGGACCCACCTGGGTGAGATGGCCCTTTTCTGAATCAGAAGCTCCTCCCCAGCTCTCTACCTGTCTGTCCACCTACTTCCTGCATCCTCCCTTCAGCGATTTTCATCTCATTGTGACCCTTTCCCCCTCTTCTCGCCCCTCTGCTGGCTACAGGGACTCCTGTTTCTGTTGGTGGCATCACTGTCCTCAGGGAGCCCCCGCAGGAATGGAGACTTGGGTTGTCTGCCTTCCAGCCTGGTCCCCTTCCCACCCCAGTGCCCGCATCTCCCTGGGGGCCCTGGTTTCCTCTTCCGTGAACACTGGCTGGTTTTCCTCCTTCCTGCTTCTCTGCTCTTCTGTACCTGCTGCCTGCGGGCTTTGTCTGAGCAGCCTTGACGGGAAGGTCTGGTTGGTCACACCTGGGCCCTGAGGCTCACAATGGCTCCTTGTTGGCCGTGGATTTGCACATCCTGCCGCCTGGCAGCTTCCTTGTCCTCCACAGCGCGGTGGGCATCAGAGCGTCCACAGGTAGCCCCTTCCCTTGCTCACCCAGCTCCCTCCCTCTCCCGGCTGCCTGCTCCCTAGAGACAGGTGTGGCTTATTACTCTCCAGGCCTTCTTTCCAGGTAACAGTTGGTAAGTTAATGTGTGTTGGACTGGGGGGCAGAGTTGTTTCTTTTTGGTTATACCGCACGGCTTCTGGGATCTTAGTTCCCCCACCAGGGGTTGAACCTGGGCCCTCGGCAGTGAGAGCACGGAGTCCCAACCACTGGACCGCCAGGAAACTCCCTGGGGCACAGACCTGATTCCCACCAAGAGCCAGGAGTGGAACCACATCCTCCTTTTGTGTTTCCTTGCCTTGATTCCATGTCTCTTTTTCTTCTGCCAGCTGTTCTCCCTGACACTTTACAAAATGATTTCACAGAAGGGCAGTCTTGTGAGATGCGTGAGGCTGAGCTGTCATCCGACTGTCGGGATTCTGAACTAGCTCTGCCACTTACTGGTTGTGTGGTCAGAGAGAAGTCACCGGATCTCCTGAGCCTTGGTTTCCTCATCTGTAAAATGGGCATAATGAGAGGACCAACATCATTGGGTGGGCGTGAGGGCGATCAGGTTGAGCGCTCTGCCACACCTGGCCAGTGGGGGTGACTGAGCAGACACTGGCAGGCACCAGTTGCCCCTGGACTGCCTGCCCAACTCCTGTCTGCCCTTCAAGGCTGGGACTGGTGGCCTGCTGGCGAGGGTGAACCTGCAGACTTAGTTTGAGCTTCTCACACTGAGTTGCAGTCTCCTTGAGAGACTGCATAGGAAAAGCAAGAGTTCCAGCTTCTTTGGCAAACCCACCAGCCCGTGATGATGGGTTCGTGTCCCCACAGGTGGCATCAGCTGAGCTGAGTGGGGCTCCTCTCTTATTCTGGGAGTGCTTTAGACCTTTTTTTTTCCCTCTTCCTCCTCTTCTATTCCTGATGGTTAACCCACCCTGCCTTCTCTCCTTTCCACAGGCCTGGCCCTGGACATTTTGGGCTTTGCTTTAGGAGCCAACTCAAATGCTGTCTTCTCTGATTATTCTCTTTGACCACTTTCTTTTCCTCTGTCTCCAATTGCATATAATTTGGACTTTTAACCTGTCTTGCTTTTTTGTTTACTTGTGAGCATGTTTTTTTTTTGGTCTGTGAGGCATGCGGGATCTTCGTTCCCTGACCAGGGATTGAACCTGTGCCCCCTGCAGTGGAAGTATGGAGTCCTACCCACTGAACCACTAGGGAATCCCCTATTTGTGAGCCTTTTTATTTGCTTAAAGACGGCACCCCTTGAACTTGTGTTGTCTGTGCCATCAGCAGTGGCTGGTGTGTGGCTGGTAGGCAGCACCGAGCAATGCTCTTGTCTGGATGCAGGGAGAGAGCAAGGTATGTGTCCTCACGGGCTGGCTCAGCCCTACTGCAACCCTGAGATGGGATGAATGGGGGGGCATTCCCCAGCTCCCCCAAGACCACTGTCAGCGGGAGGATTCTATCCTTGTGTTTTGGAGGGGCAGGGCCTCCCTGGAACTATGCAGTCTCTTCCAGGACCAGAGCCGTAGGTTGGTTGGCCCTTGTCATGGCTTCCAGCAGAGTTCGTCTGGGAATCCACAGCATGCCCACCTAGACCTTGGGGGTGGCCTGCAGCCCCAGCCTATGACACTTGGCCTTGTTTGCAAGGCCCCAGGGGGCATACTACATGTACCAGCTCTCAGTCATTAGGGGAGTGCCACCAGCTTTATGGTACACATTACTTTTTGCTTTTTATACACAGCCATTAAAAAATATATATGTTTATTTGACTGTGCTAGGTCTTTTAGCTGCAGCACATGGGGTCTTTGATCTGTGTTGCAGCAGGTGGGATCTAGTTCCTTGACCAGCAGTCAGACTCTGCCCCCTTGCATTGGGAGCCCGGAGCCTTTAGCCACTGGACCACCAGGAAAGTCCCAGTACACGCTGTTCTGGAGTACTGGGCCAAGCGTCTTTACATCACAAACTGCAACTCGTCTCTGCATGCCAGCATCTGGGGGAAAACTGGCCAACACAAAGAAGGCTTGGTCTCCATTCTCAAACAGCTCAAGTGTCCTTGTGGGGAGAAGGCTCTCACAAAGGTAGCAGTGCTGAGCAGCGGGTATAGGGGCATGTGCCGCCCACCTTCTGAGCTCTGGGGCTATTAGGATGCTGCTAAAGGGGGCTGACAGGACCTTGAGCTGAGATGTGAAAGGTGTAGGCGGGTCAGAATTCTCACAGGTGGGGAGGTGAAGCTGCAGGCGGGGCTTACAAACTCAGATGTCTGCAGGGACCAGGCAGGTGATATTAATAAACAGTGAATGTTTAGTGAGCCCTTCCTACATGCCAGGCCTCATTTGGGAACTTTACATGGATTAACGAACTTAATCCTCAGTAACCTGGCCAGATAGATGGGGCTTTCATCAAGTTTCCCAGCTGAGAAACTGGAGGGTCAGAGTCTTGGCTGAGGTCTCACAGCTGTGAGCAGTAGGGCTGGAGTCAGTGCCCTGAACTGCAGTATCAGGTTGCCTCTCGCAAGTATGTGAAGGGCCGGGTGGCCAGCTGTTACCTGCTTTGGCTGTTTGTCACCATGTTATGTGACTGCTACCTGTTGCTTCTCTGCGAATCACCCCAGGACTTAGTGATGTAAAATGACAGTAGTTATTTAGTATCTCTCAGTTTCCATGGGCCAGGCTTCTGGGAGGGGCTTAGCTGGACAGTTCTAGCTCTGGGTCTCCTGAGGCTGCATCTATCTGTTCTCATCTGAAGGCTGGACCGAGACTGGCAGCCACACTATTCAGGGGCTGGCTCGTGTGGCAGTGAGTCATTGCTTGTTGTGGGCAGGGGCCCTCCGTTACTTGCCACCTAGGACTGCTTGAGTGTCCTGCCAACGTGGCCACTGGTTTCTTGCAGAGCAGATGATCATGACAGCAAGAACTGCAGTGTCCTATGACCTTCTGACCCAGCCTCACAAGGCACTCGGTCATTTCTGTAACAGCTGGTTGGTTCTTCAGATCAGCCCAGCTCAGCCGGGGGCAGGGAGGGGACACCTGTTGGCCGGCTCCCACAATCAAGATACCCTCTCTTCTCGGGAGAAGTCAGAAATTCTGAATTTCATTCGGAAACCCAAATTTAGTATCAGCTGGTTCTGTTTCTTTCTGAGCATCGTGCAGACTGAATGAGACGTGCCTGTGATTGGTCACCCATGTGTCTGGATTGCAGCCTCTGAGCCCAGGTTGGGGTGTATGTGTGCGAACAGAAACCCCAGAGTCCCTGCTTTTCTGGAGAGTTGTGGGCAGTGGGAGAATTTGGGCAGACACTCCACCCACTTCTCCATGGGTCCTCGTGAAGTTGAGATGCCGTTGTGACTTCTAGCTCCTGGGTTGGCAGGCTGGTTACATTTCTCCACCCTGCTAGATACTGTTGAGAATGCAGTTTGTTATGGGCTCTCAAGGTCTTCAGGGGAGGCCTGTGTTTCAAGCTCCTGCTCCATCTCTTTTGTCAGCCTGGGGGAGGTTTTGGTGCCAGAGCTCTTTGCAATTTCTGAGGACCAAGGTGATTAAAAAAAAAAAAGCCTGGGAGAGGGAGGACCTGCAGGTCCTGTTTGTCTAGTGCAGTTTCCTCCAGGCCTTCCAGAGGCTTTGCTGCCAGAGAAGTGCCCTGGGCCTGGCACTGCTTCCCTTGGCGGGGAACATGGCAGCAGGCTCCTGCGAACACATGCTTGTTTACCCCTGTCTCCTTGTCTGAGCCCATGCGGTGCGGTCAGGAGGCCACGAGTGATGTGTCACGAGTGATGCTCAGGGTCACATGTTTGGGCCCTCCTCTCTGACAAGCACTGTTCTTAGTGCAGTCTCTGCTTTGACTCACGCGGTCCTTGCAGTGACCCCATGATAAGTACCATTATCTTAAGGAAGAGACGGAGGCCCAGAGAAGATTAATGACTTGGGTGACATCAGCCAGTTTAGAGAGTCGCGGGACTTGCACACGGGTGGTCGGCCCTGAAGCCAGTGTCTGAGCAGCGTGCTCTCTGCCATTGTCCCCGTGTCACAGGTGAGGATGCTGAGGCTCAGAGAGGTGAAGCAGCCAGCCCAGGGTCGCTGTCTAGTAAGTGACAAGAGCTGGGGTTCGAAGCCAGTCATCCAGCCCGGCCCCGGGGGGGCAGGTTAACCCTGCGCTGTCATGGGAGGACCCGGGGCCGTCTCCAGCCAGTTTCCAGATGACACTCAAGAGAAACAGTCCCAGAGAGACAGCATGGGCCGCCTGAGGTCCCCAGGCACCATGTTGAGAGTCAGGGCTGGCTCCAGGCTTCCAGATGCACCATTCCTGGTGTCTTTCCCTGTCAGCATGGTCGACCTGGCCTGTAGCTCCTGGCTTGAGTAGATATAGGGCAGGGCTTGGGGGAGGTTCTCTTGTAGGGTTTGGAAGAAGGGCAGGCATCATTGTTGGGAAACCAGCTTCTCTTTCTTGAACTCAGAGCTCTAAGACCCCCCTCTCCCCTCATCACGGCTGTGCTGACTCTTCCCACTTTGTCCCAATCTCTGCTGCCAGAGATGCCCCATGGTTTGGGCTCTTGGCTTCCTCCCTGGTCCTAGCCCCCAGCCCCTGCCGCCCTGGCTCTCAGCGATTGCTGTCTTCCTCTGGCTCCCATGTCCAGCATGACTGAGAACAAATACTGGATGCTGGGACTTCCCTGGTGGTCCAGTGGCTAGGACTGAGCTTCCAATGCAGGGGGCTCAGGTTTGATCCCTGGTCAGGGTACTAGATCCCACAGGCCATAACTAAGATGCGGTGCAGCAAAAAAAAAAAAACAACTCTTAAAAAAAAAAATTCCTGGATGCCACATGGAGGAGGGACACTGCTAAGGGCAGGGATCACTATGTCTCATCCTCTGGATGACCCCCCAGTGAGGATGATGAAAACTGTAGTTGAGTGATGGAATGAGAGAACTTGACATGTTAGTCAGCTTCCTGCTGAACTGTTATCATCCCTGGGAGCACCAGTGGATCAATTTTAAGCCCTGTTGAAAACATACTGAGATTAAAAAAGCCCAAAGATGGGACAGGACTTTCCTGTGGTCCCAGGATTAGAACCTGCTGAGAAGAATGTGCCTCCATTTGTGTAAAAGTGGGAGGCAGAGGGATGTATTTGCTGATGCATAAAATCTGCAAAGTCACACCCAAAAAAATCTCTTTCACTGGTTACCTGTGGACCAGAAAAGTTAGAGGGTTGTGGGGGTTAGAGAGAGGGAGGCTTTTTTTTTTTTTAAACCATGTAATCTTTTATTTACTTTGTAATTTTGAATCCTGTGAATGTAGCGCTTACTCAGAAATCAAAATAAGTAAATAATACAAAAAAATCCCCATAGCATTGTCTTGGTGTAAAGAGTCATTGGCAGGCTTCCAGTTTTGGACTGAATTTTCAAATCTATTGAACATAGGTTTTCTGAGTTTGTATGGTATAATAAAGTGCTAGGTCATTTTAGTCATGTCCGATTCTTTATGACTCTATGGACTGTAGGTTGCCAGCTTCCTCTGTCCATGGGATTCTCCAGGCAGGAGTACTGGAGTGAGTTGCCATGCCCTCCTCCAGGGAATCTTCCCGACCCAGGGACCGAATGTGCATCTCCAGCATTGGCAGGTGGACTCTTTACCACTAGCACCATGTGGGAAGCCCCTAAGCATTTTATACCTGGGCTCATTGAAATCCTCATATTTGCCCTGTGAAGCAGGTTATTATTAATCATTTCCATTTTACAGATGGGGAAACAGAGACATAGCACTTTCAGAGCTTGCCTGAAGCCTCACAGCTAACAAATGGCCAAGTCGGGGTTTGAACCTAGGCCTTCTGGGTCCAGAGTCCATGGTCTCAGGCATGCTGGCTGAGACAAAAACTCAGCTGCCTCATTGCTTTGGTTCCTTTTGGGGACTAGCAGTGGTGAGTTTGCTTCAACAAAGACTAAGGTCCCCTGCTCTCCCAAGATCCTTTCTCATCAGATGCCTTTGAAGCCTTCAGACACACGTAACTCCATCTTATCATTGAACTGAGTTTCCTCCCAGGATTTATCTGAGCTGTATGTCTTTATTTTCCAGAAAATTATGATGACCTGTATCATTGGTCAGTTGAGTCGTATTCAGACTTCTGGGCAGAATTCTGGAAATTCAGTGGAATTGTCTTCTCACGCATGTATGATGAGGTAAGTAGAGATTTCGCTTACACATTCTTTTTGTGGTTATGTTGCAAAATCATTAATTTGGGGGGCTTGTGGTTATGATTCAAAATGAAGTGTTAATCTGGGGGAAGACTAAATCCTATCTTATTTTAAATCCTCACAACAGTGGGAAAAAGTCATTGCTTCAGAGAATTGTTGAGGGATTGTTTTGGGGTCGAGGACCTCATGGGTACTCTGTGGACTTGGAGCCCCCGCAGTGAGCATGGATCCCAGGCCCTGTCTTGGCACTCTGAGTGATCCTAAGAGTAGGGCATTGCTTTGTTTTTATTTTATTAACAATTGTTAGAGTTGTGGTAAAATACACATAACACAAAATTTACCATTTTATCCATTTAAAAGTATACATTCAGTGATGCTACACGCATTCACACAATTGTTTTTTAAAACTATCATTTTTGTTGTTAAACTGGATTTTATTTCATTTTTGGCGGTGCAGCATGTGGGATCTTAGTTCCCTGACCAGGGATTGAACCTGTGCCCCCTGCAGAGGAAGCTCAGGGTCTTAACCACTGCACCACCAGGGAAGTCCCTAACCTGGGTTTTAAAGGTTCCTTTTTCCCAGATCTTTATCCTCAATAAATATCGAGAGACTAGGAGTTCTGTTATTCAAAGTATCATTTGTTGTGTTGTTTGTTTGATTGTGAGGTGAGCCATTCTGAAAGGTTCATCTGTAGGCACTTGGGGAAGAAAACCAAGGTTCCAGCCCCTGAGAATGGAGGCAGGCATCCTGCTTTCTGAAAACTGTGGTGGGAGGGTCAGGTAGGCCCTGCACTTTGACCCCCTGGTTTCTTTGCCCCCAGTTGTACCTGGAACATTGAGCAGCTGCTATGTCTGTCTTATTTACTTTCTCTCATCAAGTAGGGGCTTAATAATTGTTGAAAGAGTAAATTAGTGGGGATGGTGTTTTCCCTTGGTGTTAATTTTTTTTAACATTAGTGAGGAATAATTGCTATATATAATTATGCATTTCAAGTGTAAATGTGATGACTTTATATATATATATATATATATATATATACACGCACACATACATACATACACACGCACCTTGTGGAATGATTTCCAAGATAATTGACACAGCCAGCGCCTCGCAGTTACTTTTTTTTTTTCCTGGTGAGAACGCTCTTAAGCGTTATCTCTCAGCAACTGTTAGGTACACAGTACTGCGTTCATTTCTGTTTTCAGTTTCCAGCCTTCGGGCCAGGTCAGCGTTCAGTCTGTAAAATGATCTAGCGTCGCTTTGGGCCAGTTGGTTAGCTGGCTTCCTGGGACACAGAGTCACTTGTATGCACCCTTGGTGTTACCCTCTCGTGCATGTGTGTCTTGGTTTGCTGTTGGCCCTGTAGGTCGTGGACACATCCAAAGGGATCGCCGACGTGCCTGAGTGGTTCAAAGGCAGTCGCCTCAACTATGCAGAAAACCTCCTGCAACACAAAGAGAACGACAGAGTGGCCCTTTACGTCGCACGTGAGTCCCAGCAGCTGCTTGGTTTTCCTCTCTTATTGTGTATTTTTTGTTTTGTTTTAATTTTTTGGCTACACCGGAGATCTTAGTTCCTGGACCAGGGATCGAACCCTGGCCCTCTGCACTGGAAGCGTGGAGTTCTAACCACTGGGCCGCCAGGAAAGTGCCGTCTCTGAAGCATTTAGAATCTGATATTTGATATTTCCAAACAGTATCTTGGCACCTTTGGATTTTGTGTGTGTGTGTGTGTGTGTATACACATGTGTGATGAGAACACAAAATAGTAACTTTACCACCTTAACCATTTTTTGAGGGTCCAATTCAATGGTGTTAAGTATATTCACACTGCCATGCAGTAGATCTCTGGAACTTTTCCACTGAGACTCTGTACCCACTAAACATTGATTTCCCCTTTTCCTCCCCCAGCCCTTGGAAAGTTATATAATTTTATTTAAAAAATCACAACCAAATCAAAGAATTCTTCACTTTATAAAAGCATTGCTAATAGAAATTTTCTAACGGCAGATTCTGAGTGTGTGTCTCAGAGGTGCCCTTTCCCACAGCCTTTCTTTTCCGTAACGTTTGGTAAATCTGTATCTTGTTTGCATTCCCTGCATCTGTGTAACGTCTCCCAGGCATGTTTTCTAACCTGTATTTGTATAGGTGTGAGTTTCATCTATGTCTGTGACTCAGAATCTCTCTCTTTTTTGAAAAATTTATTTTGTTTTTTGGTTGTGTGGAGTGTGGGATCTTAGTTCCCTAACCAGGGATCAGACCCAAGCCCCCTTCAGTGGAATCATGGAGCCCTAACCACTGGACCACCAGGGAATTCCCTAGAACCTTTTTTTGTTTTTTTAAATTAATTTTTTTTTTACCATATCGTGTTGGTTTCTGCAATACGATAACACAAATCAGCCATGATTCTACATACATCCCCTTCCTTCCCGCCTCCCTCCCCTCACCCCAGCCCACCCCTCCAGGTGATCACAGTGCCGGACTGGCCTCCCTGTGCCACACAGCAGACTTCTCACCAGCTGTCCATCTCACACCTGAAAGTGTATGTATGTTGATGCTACCTTTTCCACTTGCCTCACTCTCTTGCTTCCCCACTGTGTCCACAAGTCCATTCTCTACATCTGCATCTCCTTTCCTTCCCTGCCAATAGGTTCATCAATATCATTTTTTTAGATTCCACATATATGTATTAATATAGTATATTTGTTTTTCTGACTTATTTCACAATGTATAACAGGCTTTAGGTTCATCCACCTCACTGGAACTGACTCAAATTTTTTCTTTTTTATGGCAGAGTACTATTTCATTGTGTATATGTACCACATCTTCTTTATACATTCATGAGTCGATGGACATCCAGTTTGCATCCATGTCCTGGCTATTGTAAATGGAGCTGCTATGCACATTGGGGTACATGTGTCTTTTTTGAAGATCAGAGCCTCTCTTAGGACAGTCCATGGATGACCTGTCCCTTTGCTCTTCCCAGGGGAAGGCAAGGAGGAGATCGTGAAGGTGACTTTTGAAGAGTTGCGGCAACAGGTGGCTTTGTTTGCAGCAGCGATGAGGAAGATGGGCGTGAGAAGAGGAGACCGGGTCGTTGGTGGGTATTTCTGGCTCCTGTCACCATGGGAACAGGGGAGTGGCTGGGAAGAAATGCAGTGGAGTTGGGTCAGGTTGTTCATGGCCTCATATATACGTGTGCTGCACAAACTAGACCAGGAAGGACCATCAGTGAAAGTATGGCCTGGCGGGAGTGAGCTGGGCTGTGAGGGTCCTCAGCTCCCAGCCCTAGCGTGAGTGTGTCTTCATGCTGAGTGGGAGCCAGTGTTCACAGCTGTGTATTTTTTTTTAATGAAACATGGTCCTTAAAAAAAAAAAAAGTTTTATTTATTTATGTGACTATGCCCACTCTTAGTTGCGACGCACAGGCTCTTCAATTGTGGCATATAAACTCTTAGTTGTGGCACATGGAATCTAGTTCCCTAACCAGGGATTGAACCTGGGCCCCCTGCTTTGGGAGCACTGAGTCTTAGCCACTGGACTGCCAGGGAGGTTCCAAAACGTAGTCCTTAAATGAAATACAAGCCAGAGAGTTCATCAGCTGCATGCATGCTCAGTCATGTCTGACTCTCTGCGACCCCATGGGCTGTAGCCCACCAGGCTCCTCTGTCCATGGGATTTTCCAGGCAAGAATACTGGAGTGGGTTGCCCTTTCCTTCTCGAAGGGATCTTCCTGACCCAGGGATCGAACCTGAGTCTCCTGTGTCTCCTGCACTGGCATTTGGGTTCTTTACCACTGACTCTTCCAAGGCCGAGAAAAGCTGCCTGCTGCATTTTCTGGATCTGCCCACCTCCAACGCGATGCTTTCCAGAGGAATGTTGGAGGGTAGTTTCCATTCTGTGATTTCTGCTGCTTATGCTGACATGACTGTAGACTGATCCCGAAAACCCAGCAGAGGGAGTTTTATCAGTGGAGACTCACCTGACTGATTTTCTCCGCCGCACAGATGTCAGGGATGGTGCTGCCAACCTGCTCGTTTCCCAGATGAAAAACCGAGGTCCAGGGGAGAAAATTCACTAATTCGTTTTTTTTTAAATGTGGAAGGAATGTCATTATAAAAAACTGGGTGTTGATTTAAATGAGAGGGCTTCCCAGGTGGTGCTAGCAGTAAAGGACTCATCTGCCATTGTAGGAGATGCAAGAGACTCGGGTTTAATCCCTGGGAGAAGGAAACGGCAACCGACTCCACTATTCTTGACTGGAGAATCCCATGTACAGAGGCGCCTGGAGGGCTCTAGTCCATTAGGGTTGCAAAGAGTCAGACACAACTGAAGCGACTTAGCATGCATGCATGCAGACAGCTTCAGTTCACAAGGTTGTTAACATAAAGTATGTGAAAATACTTGGCCTCTGGAGATTATTTTAAACAAGGAGTTACTTTCATTTATTTACTTTTTTGGGGCCATGCTGCTTGTGGATTCTTAGATCCCTGACCAGGTCTTGAACTTGGACCCTCAGCAGCAAAAGAGTGGAGTCCTAACCACTAGACCACCATGGAATTACCCGAGTTACTTAATACTGAGGCATGAAATTTCATGGCCAGGACACCTCATCACAGATCTGTTAAACAATTGACTGTAACTGTTTGACGCTACAGCATAGGAGCAGGCCCCTGGGTCCCAGCTTCCCCATGCCAGGCTGGTGGCCACCCTGTCCCTGGGGATCCCCACCAGGGTTTCCTCACTCAGCGTGGCTTCTCCCACGTAGTCCTTCCTGGTGGGAATTTGTTTAGCAGCTTCGAGGGTACCAGGCTCCCTGGAGTCAGGTGGCCTGCTTTCTGTATTTGGTGCTGCCTTTGGGCCTGTGGGTTTGAACGAGAAATTCCTCCTCCCCTGGACCTCGAGTTTCTTCATCTTTAAACAGGGCGGCAGAGAGCCTGACCTGGCTGGTTGTACAGGGTGTCTCGTGGGTGGAGAAGTCAGGAGTGCCTTCTCAGTCCTGCCCATCCTCCAGCATCCCGGGTGCGGCCAGTAACGAGGAGGCGTCCAGGGACAACTTCCGGTCCACAGGCAGCTGGGGCTCTGTGCTTTTTGCTGTGATGCTGGGGATCATCGTTTAAGTTGTTCCTTCCAGGATCAGACATCAGGTCTCATTCTTAAACCAAAAGAGAGAGCTTCTCTGTCCTCTGGCCACACGACTTTGCTCAAGGCGCCAACCCCGTGGCACTGAGGGTGTCGGTCCCCTGCTCAGAAGCTGACTAGCTCCTGCTGCCCTCCAGGGGCAGGTCTGCACAGGCCTTGCATTCTTGCTTCCTTCCCTGCCTCCTCACACCCTCGCCTTTCCTCAGTCCCTCCCTGACTGCTGTCCTCCTAAGTGTCCAGCAGATCCTTTGTGGGGCGCCAGCCTCCTCCCACTGGCCTGTAACTACCCGCAAATAGTGTCTCTCAGGGAAGTCCCTGGGTTGCCCCCATTGGACCCTCTGTCGGCATCTCATCCTCTGTCTTCAGAGAATGTGTCATTGGTATTTGATTGGCCAAGCAGCTTGCAGAAAAACCCATGTGAACTTTTTGGCCAACCCAAGTAATTTTCTGTTTGGTTTTTGTGATTATTTGATCACTGGTCTCCTCTGGTGCTAAAGTCCACGAGGCCTGGGGGTCCAGCTGTGAGGCTGCCCTCCCCGCCCCCAGGGGTCGTGGGACCAGGACCACAGGCCAGGGCATCAGCAGGAGAAGCCACCGGGCATGTTGGTATAACCATTACCCATCCCCCCTCTCCCGGGGCCTCACTGAAAGTTGGCGCTCAGGTGTGTGTTTGTGGAGAGAGTGGCCTTACCCTGGGGTAAGCCATGTGAAAGGGCTGGACCCTGAGACTTCTTCTTGGATGATGGAGCCGGGTGTGGAGCAAGTGCTCACTAAGTGTTAGCTGACTGGAAAGGAATCTATAGGAAGGGCCATGACTCCCACGTTGCTGCCTGTCTCAGCCCTGGATGGAGTGTTTCCCTGTAGATCCAAGGATTCGCCCTGGTTCACTGAGGTCTCTGCTCAGGGGCCGGCCCTGCCGTCCTGTGCAGAAATCCATTGCCACTCTCTCTTCACCTCACTTTATTTACATCTGTCGCCTTACTGGCTCCCTGAAGTCACAGGATTACTTGTGTGTGTGTGTGTGTGTGTGTGTGTGTGTGTGTGTGTATGCGCGCGCGCGCACACACACACATGTCTGTCTGTCTGTCCTCCAGGACTAGAGGATGAGGCTTTGTCTTCTGTTCATGCCCCACCTCAGTCCGTGGGGGGCCTGGCACACAGTAGGTGTAGAATGAGTATTTATTGAGTGATGGCTGCGTGAGAGTACTGAGTCAGAGCAGGCATTTTTGTGGTTGAAACCACAATATCTTAGGTTTTCCCTGGTCCAATTTAATCTGCCTAGAAAAGGAACTCAAGAGGTTCTTCTACCCTCCAGTAATTCTTCTCCCCTCCAATTTTTATTTAAAAAAATTTCCCTTTGAAGTAAATACTTCTGAGAAGGAGAAACAGAAAACAGGGTATACGGGGGCATCTCTTGGCCATGCTTTTTTGGGGGACGCCTGCTCCCATGTTCTTGGCTCCTCAGCGTCAGGCTGGTGCTGGGTAACCGACCCCCGCTTCTTAGTGTCACAGCTCGAGCACTGATTTGACCTAATGACAGTTACTAGGACTGAGGACTGTGCTTCCCGGAAGTGAGTGTTGAGGAGCCCAGTGCAGAGGGGCTTGAATGGAGAGATGCTTGGAGAGCTTTGAGGATGTAGTTAGAGCTGCTCACGACTCTTCCTCATCTGTGAATTGGGCATCTCCTGGCTGTGTGTCAAAGCCAGCAGGGTCACACAGCCTCCCTGGGTGGTGAGTCTCGCCCTTCCCCAGGCAGTGGCACGGTGGAGACACTTCAGTTACATTCACAGCCAACTCTTCCTCTGCAGCAGATGGCTGTCAACGGGCCTGACATGTGCCAGGGCTGGGTGGAGCCTGGCTGCTGAGTGAGTGATGTAGGACCTGTGTCCCCGGGATACCCAGCCTAGGAGATGCGGTGAACCCATAGAAACGAAGTACCCACGACCGTTGTCAAATAGGCAGTTCAGAGCTGCGGGAGGAGAAGCAGGAGGAGAGCTGTCCAGGGCGCCTGGGGTGCTGAAGCAGAGAGGGATTTTGTGTAATCAGGGAGCCGTGCTTGGGGGAGGCCGTGGCCCTTGTGTCCCTGGGTGCCCTGTGCCCAGATCCTTTCCTCGAGCATTTAAGGCAATCTGTCTAATCGATCATAGTCTCTTTGGCTGTAAAGGTTCTCTGCCTCTATTACTGTAGAAGCCCAGCCTTCTGCTTGAAGACTGGCCTGAGCCCCTTTCAGGCTTGTATACGTCTCTGCTCTGTATTCATTCCCCTACAGCCTCTCCTCTCCTCCCTCCATACAAACATCCACCCACTGGCCTACCAGAGGGCTTTGATCTGCAGGGTGTGACAGAAGGCATTTGGTAAAGCAGAGCAAGACAGTCAAAGTCCCAGCCCTCACAAGAGAACCAGTTATAAGTTGCCAGTTATGATTTTCCTTAGGTGATTATTATGGTAAATCTGGTGAGGGAGAAATATGGCATGCTTTGTGAGTGACTGGCCAGGGCACCTGAGTTCATGGAGTGCCCTTAGAGAAGGCTTCCCTGTGGGAGTTTCATTTGCATTCAGTGCTGAAGGATGAGTGTGAGCCCAGTAGGGAAGGCTGGTGTGGGTGGGAGTGTCTAGACAGCTCATGCAGCCTGTGCAAAGGCCCTGAGGCAGCAGGAGCTTCAAACAACTGAAGAACTGAAGGCAGGCTATTGTGACTGAGCCCAGAGTGAGTGCCAGAGTGGAGGGAGAAGAGACCAGACTGTATCTTGTGGGGGTCACTGATTGGAGTGGGTTGGCGGGGTGATGACAGGAAGCGGTCAGGCTGGCAGCAAGTGATTGCGGCATCTGAGCAGGAGCTGTCCAGGTGGGTGGAGTGGGCCTGGCCCTACTCTGTGAGCTGTTCACAGCCAGCCTCTCTCCACTCTCACCCTGGCTCTAGGAGGTGCTTTTGGAAGTCTTCTGCATCTTCACACCCTGACCAAATGTTCTCCCTGTGTCCTCTCCACAGGCTACTTGCCCAACAGTGCGCACGCCATAGAGGCCATGCTGGCGGCTGCGAGCATTGGGGCCATCTGGAGTTCCACGTCCCCAGACTTTGGCGTGAATGTGAGTCGAGGTCCCCTCAAGTGCCCTGGGTGTGCTGCCCCTGCAGGGGATCATTCCCTATGATTTCTGCCTGATATCTTGGGTCAGGATGTGGGCAGCTGCAGGGTGAGACCAGCAAGATGGGGAGGAAAACGGCTTCACTATGACCTCCCATCTCCCCAGCCAGTGACTTGTGATCCATGGGAGAGAAGGAGCTGAATATTTTTTTAATTAATTAATTAACTTACTTTTGGCCACGCTGGGTCTTCATTGCTGCTCTTGAGCTTTCTCTAGTTGTTGCGAGCAGGGGCTGCTACTCTATTGGCAGTGCACAGGTTTCTCATTGCAATAGCTTCTTTTGCTGCAGAGTAGGGGCTCTAGACTATGTGGGCTCAATAGCTGAGGTGCATGAGCTAAGTTGCTCCACAGCATGAGGGATATTCCTGGACCAGGGATCGAACCTGTGACCCATGCATTAGCAGGTGGAGTCTTAACCACTGCGCCATCGGTAGAATCCAGAGCCAAATCTTCTCTTAAGTCTATAAGTAAATGATTCTTCCTTCCTTCCTTTACTGTTCCTCACATCCAGCCATGTGTATTGGCTGCATTGGTGTGCGTTACATATGATGGGCAGTCTTCTGAGCATCCAGTAAGAAGTGCCCAATGGCTGCTCTGGTGACCTCATGCCCACATGAAGTTTATCCTTTGCAGGATATTTATTCTCTGCAGAGTGTTTTCCAGATTTGCTCACCGAAGTTCCTCCAAGGCCTCCAACATTGCCACTTCTGATCTCTTACTTTTTAAAAAGTGTTTTTAAAATTATTTATTTGTGTTTGACTGCGCTGGGTCTTCGTTGCCACGTGAGGGCTTTCTCTAGTTGCAGTGAGTGGGGGCTACTCTTGGTTGCTGTGAGCAGGCTTCTCATTTCGGTGGCTCCTCTTGTTGTGGAGCACGGGCTGTAGGTGTGCAGATGCAATAGTTGCAGCGCACGGGCTTTGTTGGTCTGTGGCGTGGGGGATTTTCGCAGACCAGGGAGCAAATCGGTGTCCCCTGCATTACCAGGTGGATTCTTAACCACTGGACCACCAGGGAAGCCCTCATCTCTTACTTTGGGCCTGAGCTTTGCACCCTATGTGGGAGCAGGTTGAGCCTTTTTATTCCCTTAAACCTGGAGGGTACCCTGGAGCAAGGTGGGCACCAGCTGTAGAGTGACCCAGGCAGGGGCAGGAAGCTGAGCCCCACACGGGGAAGGAAGGAACAGTCGAGCAGGACTTCCTGGGACTCCCCACTTCCCGATCAGGGACCTCTCCTGGTTGCAGAGCCACGAGGACAGTGCCCTGTTAGAGGACATGGTGGGCATCTTCGCAGACTGCTCTTCTTTCGCCCTAGGCATGGCCCCAGCTCTGGGCATCTATCAGAGCAGCCCACGGGCTAAGGGCTGGCCTGGCTTGGCGGACTGTACATCCCTAGGCGAGTTGTTTATCCTCATGTGTGAGGCAGGGGCAGTGGAAAGAGAGAGTCTCATGAAACAACTGTAGACCGTGTGGGGCCATGATTGGTGTGGGAGGGTTGATACACTTGGACAATAGATGCAGTGATGGCGCTTTTCCAGCCTTGCTCTGTGACCCATGTGCCTGGTCCATGGGCCAGGCATTTTGGGTGTGAGCTTGACACCGATGTCTGTCCTGAGGCTTGCTCTTCTGGAACAGATTTCACGGTACTTCTTATTTTCCCCTGCACCACGCAGAGGAGGGACAGATGTGCCTCTGTAACATGGAAGCCTGGAGCAGTGAAGTGACTGGTCGAGGCCAGTCCTTGCCCCATGGGGTGAGGACCGAGCCCTGCTGAGTTCAGGGAGAGGGTGGTCATCCCGGCCCTCATCACTGGTAGCCGTGATTGTGCCTCCTGGGGCTTTGCTGGGCCTCTGCCAGATCACCTTCCTCCAAGACCAACTTGAGATTGAAGCTCCGGGGTGACTTCTTGATCCCCAAGGCCCTCTGTGGGGCCATGTGAGCTTGGGACCAGGCCATCCTTGTGGGAGCCAGTCCCTGGGCACTCTTGTCCTTGAATCCCTTAGCAGCCCTTGAGCTGTGTTGCCCGGAAGTGGTGAAGGTGCCTCGGGGTTGGAGAAGGCATGTGGCATGGAGGTTACCAGCAGGCAGGCCCCTGCCCGGGTTTGAATCGGGCTCTGCTGCTTCCAGGCTCCCATTCCCGGGGACACACCGCAGGGGGCTTGTGAGGACAGCAGCAGTGACGCCCATCTAGGGTTGGGACAGCCCTTGACCCACCCCCGAGCATTCCTGATGTGGGATCTGGTTCCCTGACCAGGGATTGAACCCAGGCCCCCTGCATTGGGAGCGCAGGGTCCTAGGCACCGGACCTCCAGGGAAGTCCGGAGGGGCGGGTGTTTCTGAGTGAACTGGAACTTGTAAGCAGTTGTAGAGATGTTGGCAGAGCTCTGTGGCAGGAGGATGCGGCTGTGACTGTCTGGAGCCTGACTGAAGCTTATGCCTGAGGGCATCACAAGCTTCGGAGAGTAGAGGTCCTGAGCTGGCCCCTGGTGGCAGGTCTGAGCCGCCAGGTGCAGGGCGGGTGGCCTTAGGGGACAGGGTACCTCCCACTTGCTTGTAGCATCAGCAGCTGGCCCTGACCCCGCGCCTGTTCTCGCGAGCCTGTCCTGTGCGGAATGTCACCACCACCGGCCACTCCGGCTGACTCTGGCCTGAGGTCCTGTAGTGTAGAGGACGCAGCCCATGGGTACCACTGGAGGGCGTCCCAGGCATTCCTTCCCTGGGTTGAGGCTGGTTTGGGTTTTCTGATGTGGCGGCTGTTGTCCGGCGCGCGTGCGCACTAGATGGCAGCGTGGCTCTGCTCTGACCTCGACCTCAGCACATTTGATTCAGGGAAATCTTTTGCCACGCGACAGCCTGAGTCTGGGGAGAGCCCTCCGTTCCATTAGAAAATGATAGGGCCAAACATCTTTCTACTAAGATGCTTCACTTTGCCCTGAGTTCTGGGAGGTGGTCCTCATTTTGCTGAGCCCCTTGTGTAGAGCCAGAGGCAGACAGTCATGCGCACAGTCTTCGGGAGTGAGTGTTGAGCAGCTGACAGTTCATGTATCAGCTTGGTGACTTCAGGGCCCCCCCCGGCTGCTGGTACCACCTGTCAGCTCCCAAGGGTGAGCCCTGTGTCCAGGAAGCCCTGGTCCAAGTAACCTGGACCACAGCACTTGCTCATGTGGGCATCGATACCCGTAGGCTCCCCTGGTAGCTCAGATGGTAAAGAATCCACCTGTAATGTGGGAGACCTGGGTTCGATCCCTGGCTGGGTTGGGACGATCCCCTGGAGGAGGACGTGGAGACCCACTCCAGTACTCTTGCCTGGAGAGTCCCCATGGACAGAGGAGCCTTGTGGGCTACAGTCCATGGGGTTGCAAAGAGTTAGACATGACTGAGCAACTAAACACAGCAAGGACCTGGTAGAAAGCAGGACCCCAGAGCCTCAGGTATCTTCTCTGTTTTCTTCCAGTAGCTAAAACCTGCAGGAAAGCACTGCGAGTTAATGATGAGATGGGGCCTGGGGTGGGAAAGGGGAGTCCTGTGGGCCTGCGACGGTCCTCTTCAGCAGTGTGCAAATCTACTTAAAAAAGAGGCTCCTGGGGACTTCCCTGGTGGTCCAGTGGCTAAGACTGTGCTCCCAGTGCAGAGGGCCCGGGTTTGATCTCTGGGCAGGGAACTAGACCCCACATGCTGCAACTAAAGGTCCTGCATGCCTTAACTAAGACCTGGTGCAGCCAAATAAATAAACAAAAAAGAGGCTACTGTTCTCAATTTCTGGCATCACCATTTTTAGATGGTCCTCCAGTTTCCGTAAAGGGTCAGTTTCTGAAATTTGCAGTGAAGTACAAATGTTTTTCCTACTTTGACTCATTTTCTGTTGCAGATCACTGAAAATTCCCATAATAAAGGGAAAATTGCTACTCTCTTACAGATCCTGATTTTAACTTTTTTTATGTGACGGGGTTACATCATTAGTGACTATGAAGTAGGTTCTAGTCCTGTGGCACACGCAGGGGGAATAGTTACTGGGCAGTTTACAGGTATGGGGGTAGGGTCTCCATACATGTGGACTCACCTGCCCACGGATGAATCCTCCTCGCCTAGCCAGGCTGGTGATGACAGGACCCCCTCTGTTACCAGGCCATGTGCCTGTCTGCATGGGATGTTCTGGGGCAGGGTGGGGATGCAGCTTTTGCTCAAGGATGCTGGGGGCCATTTCTCACTTCCCTTGACACCCCTTGGGTCTGGTCTGCCCTACCCCTGCCCGTCGCCTCACCCTTCCTCCCATCCGTTCCACTTCTCCCACCCTCTCTGCTTGAATACCCACCCCCCCCAGTGGGCTCAGGGACATCTCCAGGTGGGTGGGGTGCTTGTTCTTCAGGTCCCCAACCTTCCAGCCTCACCAAGACCTCCAGGTCCTGTGTGTGTTGACATTTGGTTTTTCCTTTGTGTCACTGTTTACCTTTGAATGGGTGGCTTTTTCAGAGATGCTAGGGTAGTTCAGCCTTTGATATCCACACATCCAAGAGCCAGGCCAGTAGCTTGTAGCCCTTCCTCTTACAGAATGCGTTCAGGTTGCTATGTGTGTGTGTGTGTGTACCTGTGCACACATGTACCCACGTGAACATCAGTAGAGCTGTTCTCACTCTGGGTGGCTGTCATGTGATCCAGCACTGGCCTGGCTGTTGGTTACAGTGCTGGGTTGGTTGCTAAGCGCCGTATCAGGTCAGCTGCATGATCACAGGTGTGTTCGTTTCATTGTAACATGAGAGCAGTCAGGAATGAACAGTCCTCTCCTGGATCGGAATAGACCAACAGCTGGTTTCTGATGCTCAGAGATCCCAGCTTGACCCACCAGGAACCCACCACCATGTCGTGGGGTCTCTGAGTCTTTCCACGGTGCCCAGTTCTGACCTCTGGTTCTGAAACACTTGTTGTCTTTGCTGTCTGCTTTTTCTCCCTGTGATGTCTGGGCCCCAAGTCACTGCTCTCTGGTCCTTCTACCTGTGTGGGCTAGTCCACCAGAAGGATGCTAGGTGTCATGTAGAAATTCCTGCCGCCTTCCAGGGCTCCTGTCTGACCCCATCCTGCTCCTCCCTGGCCCCAGACTTTCTAGAACTTCTTTCCCTTCCCTGGGCTGGTCCCCCCTGCCCTGGGCTCTTATTGTGGCACCCACAGCTCAGAACTGCCGCTCCCCTTCCACCTGACTGTGAAGCCTGCTCCCCTGATGCCCCTGAGCGGAGGTGCTCTCTGGAGGCTTCCTGGGATGCTCTGGCCATGGTTCTTGCTTCCTCCTCCTGATTCAGTCTGTGGGGACCCCAGCCCTGGCTCTTTTCTGCTGCCCGGTCGCTTTCCTGTCCTGAGGGTCAGTCTTTCCTTGGTAGAGGCAGTGCTGTGGTTAAGAGCACCAGCCCCCGTGGCAGATGGAGCAGCCTGCAACCCCAGCTCTGCCGCTGGCAGGTTGTGAAGCTTTGGGCAGATGATGCTGGTCCTGCCTCAGCAAGAGTGTGGAGCTGACCATAGCCCCAGCCTGCTGCTGGGGACATGAAGTCAGATGCGTGAGTGCCTGCCACCAGCTGGAAAGGTGGATGCTGAACGCTCAGTACATGTAGATGTTTTCATAGGCAAAAATTTTCTCCCCAGCTTAAGTGAGGACTGTCCGCCCCTCTTAAAACCCTGGGGTCCAGGAATACTGTTTATTTTGCTGTGTGGAGCTTGCTGTTGTTTTCTCTCTCTCTCCCTCTTTTTTTTTTTTTCCCATGCCCTGCTTGGCATGTGGGATCTTAGTTTCCAACCAGGGATTGAATCCCCGGCAGTAGAAGTGTAGGGTCTTAACCACTGGACCACCAGGGAAGTGCCGCTCTGTGGAGTTTGTAAGTGGCCACCTTGCCTAACCCAGTTCTCCTGGTTCTCCTGGTGGTTCTCAAGGGCTTTTTTCAACATAGCCATTTCTATTGTCTGCTGCGTGGCTCCTTTCTGCCAGCTCCCGGCTCCTGGCTTGGCTGGAACTCCAGGACACCGTGGCAGTCTGGGCACGGAAGCTGGTTTCTGCTTTTTGCCAGGATGCTTTTTTTTTTGGCCATGCTGCGGCATTCTGGATCTTAGTTCCAAACCAGGGATCGACCCTGGGCCCCCTGCAGTGGAAGTTCAGAGTCCTAACCACTGGACCGCCTGGGACGTCCTACCAGGACTCTCTTCTATCAAGAGCGACGTATTTGCCATAGACTTCTGTGAGACTCCGTTTGTCAGTGAGGAAGTGTCCAGCTTAGTAAAGCTTTGTGTGAGGAAAGCGAGAGCTTTTAAGATAATCACAAGTTTCCCCCCCTTTAATCTGTTAGTGTGGTAAATTACATTGGTTGGCAATCTCTTTTTCTGTTTGCTTGTTCTCTGTCATTTTCTGTCTTTTGAAATGGTTTATATAAAAGGAACGTTCTAGTGCTGGAGGATGTGGTGACACTTGCGTGCAGTTCTGTCCTTCCCTGGTGTCTGTGTTAAGAGGTAGACCTTTGACTGCTTTTTCTCTCATGGTTATTGTCTCTTCAGGTGTTCTACTGCTTCTTAGATCATTTTTGATAAATTTATGTCTTCTTGGGGAATCATCCTCTTCATCTGGCTTTTGGCAATTTAACAACACTGAACATAGTGCTTTGTCATTAATTAATCTTTCTGTAGAAAAGTGTGATTTCTGACTTTGGGTGATTGTAGGCCTTGGTCTATCCATCTGTAATATGGGGATAATAATGCTGTGTCAGAGCACTGAATGAGTGAATATTAGTAAAATGCCCAGGACAGTGTCTGATATGTAATAAGTACCGTGTAAGTGTTAGCTAGAAATATTATCTGTCTTCTTGATCACATTTGTCAAGAGGCTTATTTTATTGATCTTCTTGGAAAATAGATTTTGGTTTTATTGATCAAATCCATCACTAATTTTTCCTTATGACTTTATTCCTTCCTTCTATCTTTTTGTTTTCCTGGCTACCTAAACCATGAGTGTAGTTCACTGAAACCAATTGGAAATTAGAAACAGTAACATTTAACTGCTTTGCTACTTTTCCCCCAGATAGATTGTATGTTCCAAGGACAAGGAACTCTGGTTGCCTGGCACCGTGTCTTGAAAATGGATGACATTGAAAGTAGAATCTCAGTTCTTCACTCTTTAGCCCAGAGAGTCACAAATTTTATCATGCGTTAGAATCACCTGAGGGGCTTGTGAAAGCCCAGATTGCCAGGCCACCTCAACACTGTTGTCACCAAGACCATTCCTAGGGGCTCTGGCTTCCCCTTGTCTTAAGCATGTGCTTTGCCGACTCCTGGGGAACTCTGAGAAGCAGCGCCTGGGCCACTCCAGGCCAGTTAATTAGTTACCCGGTGAGTTTAGTCGTCCTGCCACAGGTGGCCTGTATCCTGCAGCCAGGGTGGAGACCCTATCCATCAGACCCTCACACAGGGGTTCTGACATCCCTGACACCCCTGGAGTAGCCCCAGGCATTGACCTTGAGCTGCTACATTGGGCTTACATGCAAGGGACCAGGCGTGCTGGTCCAGGAGTCTGGAGTCCGGTGATGCCTTCCCAGATGCTGTTTTTGTGATGAAGATGGCTGTGCCATAGTCTGAATTTGGCAGGCTGGAAGGGGAACTGGAGGGGAGACTGTGAGAGCCTGTGCCTGTCACCCTCAGGGCTGCGTGCAGGTTGTATTGGTGTGTCTCAAGGCTACACCTGTCAGTTTTGTGTGTGCATGAGAGGTGTGCCTTCTCTCAGTGAGAAAGATGTGCTTGAGGGGGATGGTGATTCCGTGTGTGGTGTAAACGGACTTGCTGGGGGTGGAGAGCCTGCTTTTTCAAATGGGCTGGTTTATGAGTGTACATGTTTATGGTTTTATCCATTTGCTTGGCAAAAAGTGTCATTTGGAGGATTCAGGTACCTCTGTCATTGAAGATCAAAGGAGAACCAAACTGTCGGACCACTTTGCATACAGAGCTTCCTTTTGGGGAGGTGAGCCTTCCCTTACAAACGCCAGAGGAGCCGTGTTGGAAGGTTCTTTCTGTAAAGTGGGGAACCATTGTGGTGGTGCAAACACCATGTTGTTTTCCCATTTGATAGACTCAGTGTGTGTCTGTGAGTCCATCTGGTGTTCTTTGCATTGATGCTTTCTGTGAAGTAATGATCCTGTCTCGGGTGCGTGTCTGGTTTGTTTGGCTGTCTTTCTTGGCCTCCAGGTGATGGGAATGCAGGGACATGGCTGGCATGGTGGTCATGCTCCTTTTTCTTTCCCTGAAGATACAGTGGTCCCATGGGCTGCTGGGAGATTTTGCCTTTTGGATGAGCAGTGATGTTTCCTTGAGCATTAATGGTGTTTCTTTTTGCATGGGTGGGGTGGGGTAGGGGTTATGTTCTGCAGACTCAGTAGTTTGCAGTGGGTGGTCTTAGCTGCCCCGGGGCAAGTGGGATCTTAGGTCATCAGTTCGGTTCAGTTCAGTCTCCGAGTCATGTCTGACTCTTTGCGACCCCATGGACTGCAGCACGCCAGGCCTCCCTGTCCTTCACCAACTCCTGGAGTATATTCAAGCTCATGTCCATTGAGTCGGTGTTGCCATCCAACCATCTCATCCTCTGTCATCCCCTTCTCATAACCAGGGATCATATTCGTGTCTTCTGCATCAGAGGGCGGATTCTTAACCCTGGGACCTCCAGGGAAGTTGTACAACAATGGCTCTCTCCTTCCACCCCAGGGCGTTCTGGACCGGTTTTCTCAGATCCAGCCGAAGCTCATCTTCTCCGTGGAGGCCGTAGTGTACAATGGCAAAGAGCACAACCACATGGACAAGCTGCAGCGGGTCGTTAAGGGTGCGTGGGCTGCTATGGGGGGCGGGGTGCAGGGGCAAGAGTCCCTGGGAGCTGTGAGCTACAAAAATGGAGCAGTCCCAGCCCTAGGTTGTTTACATTTCATCAAAAAAGAGAAAGATCAGTGACTAAGTTTGTCAGGGTCTATAAGCTTGTGTGTTCTTCTCCTCCTGCTTTTAGGACTACCAGACCTGAAAAAAGTGGTACTGATTCCTTACATCTCCTCCAGAGAGAAGATAGACATCTCCAAGATTCCAAATAGGTGAGCCAGCCACATGCTGATCACTAATTCCACATGCTGATCACTAATTCCACATGGAACATAGTCACGGCCCCACCGGGCAGCAGGTTCTGTAACTCTTTCCAGTTGGAGTGGGAGCATCTTGGAGATGCAGGGTATCTTTGTTAAAAATTGTCATTCCATAGGGACTTCTCTGGTGGAGTTAAGAATCCATCCCGCAGTGCTGGGGACTCGGGTTCAAGCCCTGATCTGGGAACTAAGACCCCATATGCTGCAAAGCAACTAAGCCCGCGAGCCAGAACTAGAGAGTCCGTGCACCACAAGGAAAGATCTCGAGTGCTGCAACTGCGACCTGTTGCTGGTGCAGCCAAAAAAAAAAAAATCATCATTCTGTAGATGGGCACCGGAGGCCAGAGGGAGTCCCTCGGGGCCACATGGTGACGTAGTGGCAGAACAGCCTGTCCCAGGCATCCTCACTCTTCCTGTCTCTTGTCCCTCGGAAGTGGTGGTGGGCTTGGATGGGTCCAGGCCATTTGGCCACAGCAGTTCTGAATACTGTCTAAAGTGTATCCACACGTGCATATGTGTGTGGATGTGTGTGTGTTTACAGATACGTGTGCACTTTTGTGTGTATGTATATGGTGTCTATGTATGTATATGTGCATGCATGTGTGTGTATGTATATGCATATGTACAAAGGAATGCTGGTGTTGGTGTTAGTCACTCAGTTGTGTCTGACTCTTTGGAACCCCATGGACCCCGCCAGGCTCCTCTGTGCATGGGATTCTCAGGCAAGAATACTGGAGTGGGTTGCCATTCACATGCTTAATACATATTTTTTCATTTTAGAACCTGTTTTTTTGTCCCCCTTGTTAATGGCATCTTCCTTTCCTCTTCTGACATGCATAAGCTAAGAGACTTCAGGCCTTGAGCACTGAATAGAGTGGTGAGCACCTTAATTCTGAATAGGCATCAATAAAATGGATTATGATTTGCTCCAAGTAGAGGTTCTTCCTGAAGGTCTTATTGTCCACCTTTCATCTTTCTTAAAGAGATCACTGAAGAGAGGTAGGTTTTTTTGGGACACACTTCTTGGCTTGTGGAATCTTAGTGCCGGGTCAGGGATCTAACCCGTGCCCCCTGCAGTAAAAGTGCAGAGTCTTAACCTCTGGACTGCCAGGAAAGTCCCAAGGAGAGACTTCTGAGATCAGATGTGTTTACCTGCGCAGGTAAACCTACCCGTTTAGCCTTGTGTCTGGACCATGGGCAAGAGTCTCTGAGCAGCCTCAGAGCCACAGGTGGGATTCCTGTGTGTGCTGTGTGCAGCGAGCGAGGGGGTGTGGAGGCCTTGCTCTTGGGTGGACATGGCTGAGCGGGTCTATCCAGGCACCTCCTGGGGCACTGAGCAGGATAAAGTTCATGTGCTGTCCCCAAGTTTACAGTCAAGCTCGGGGGTAAGGCACATCTGCAGGAAGGGTGAGCTGTGACCACTGATCCCAGTAGACACAGCCATGCTCGCTGAGTCAGGGGACAGGCAGTGCCCAGGAAGTGAGACATGAGCACAGTTGCTTCTTTGTGGAAACTGGGGGAGGCGACACCTGAAGTGACCTTGAGAGGTGGCGCAGATCGGGGGATAGCTGCAGGTACCAGGATTCCAGAGGCTGAAAGGAGCTGCAGCAAAGTCTCCCTGAAGGCTGTGGCCTCCAGCCAGACTGCTCTGGGTCATATGTCAGCTGTGCGGCCCTGGACCAGCGATCAACCTTGCTGTGTCTGGGTTCCCCCATCTGTAAAGTAGGGATAATAGAACTTTCCTCTCAGGCTGAGCAGTGTGCACATAGTTAGCTGTCAGTAATGTTGTCTGTCATTATGAGCAGGTGACAGCCCAGACTGGAGTGAGCTGTGTCCTCTGGAGCACCCGGGTCAGGGCATGTAGGTCCCTAACAGGCCAGCCCGGGGGTGTGGGCTTGTCCCTGAGACTGTGGGAACTCAGCCGACCTTGATAAATTACACCCAACCTTAGTTCCCTTTTAAAGAATTTATTTATTTTTAACTGAAGGATAACTGCTTTACAATATTGTGTTGGTTTCTGTTATACATCAGTATGAATCAGCCATAGGTATGTCCCCTCCTTCTTAAACCTCCCTCCCACCTCCCTCCCCCTCCTTGGTTTTATCGATGGAGCCATAATGCACAGAGGCCAGGAGGAACACATGATGGTTTGCTGGCCCTACAATGGCCTGGCTTTTATTTTTCTGTATGTGTTTATCGGTGATTGGTGTACAATGAGGGCATCCGGGAGAATTAACATCCACCACTTCATTTAGCTCCAGACAATGTGGAGAGCCCTCCCTCCCCACCGGTCCACCCTGGGAATCAGGCCCCATTGCTTTCCAGCTTTCAATTGCTGGGTGCCATAGATAAACTGAAAGCATGTCTGTGCCTGTGTGCAGAGACCTGTAATGGGACCGCCCTTTTGGCTTTTCATTTTTAGAAGAAACAACAAAAGTCATCACTATTTACTGTGATTTATAGACTAGTGGAAAGAAGAGGTTTTTCTCTGTGTGAAGCATCTGATTAGATTGGGCCCTTTATATAAATGGGATTCGGATGGGAGGTGGGGGCTTTCATTGGCTTGAGGGTTCCACAGTGAATAATTTTCCTGACACTCTGGAGAGGAGGACTCTGCTTATTTACTGCTCAGAATTGAATTATTTGGGGTCCCCTTTTCAAATGGCCCTGCCTCCCCCAGGAGGCAGGCTCATCTTTAAGGATGCCTTCCCATGCGATCCAGCACAGTTCTTCACTCGAGTGTGCATGCGTTTGAAAATATTTCAGAGTAATCATCGTTGGCAGTTTGTTGCCAGCCAAGTTGAACTGAGTTCTCCCCTTTCCTTGAAAGCAAGTTCCATTTGTCAAAACGGTAGCTTTGTTTGTTTTCTTCTCTCTCCCCTCTCTCCCTTCTAAACCAGTGGAGCAACAGAGCTGGGGTTCAGGGATTGATTTTTTTTCCTGCTGATCTCAAAAGAGAGAAACCACCTGTCTCCCAACGTGGCTTTGTGGCTTCTGCTGTCCTGTTTCTGCTCAGAAAACAGCCCCTTCGGTGGCCATTGATCACACGCAGTGAGGCTTTGCGTCAGCTTTGGGGGCACAGTTGAGGGCAGGCTGTTTAGGCCAGAGCCGACAGCTGGGCTGAATCTTACTTGTTCCTGGACAGATGTGTGCATCTGGCCATTGTAAACCTCAGGATATAGGGATTCAGTGAGAATAGGATCATTGTCTGGCAGGATTTCTGTCATAGAAACTCTCGTGTGGGACCTTGATCCCACCTTCTTGCTGTGACCTTTACAAGTCTGAAGAGACCTCTAAACCTGTCACCTCCTTCTCTCCCTTCTCCTAGGGGCTGGGGAGATGGGGGTGGGGGGAAGGAAGGATTCAGGCCCACTTGGCTCTCACTTCCCCTTGGGGGACCTGGGGAACAAGGCACTTGCTAGTCAGATGGTAAGTAGCGAATGGGAGGCGCCTGAGTTCTAAGGACTCCAGCATCAGTTCAGAGCCCCCCCTCTGCAGAATTTGCACATAAACAGCCAGCGTGTTAATTGCAAGCAGTCCCCCTCTGCTGTGTTTAACATTAAAGCACTTAGACTCTCGGGAGAAAAGCCCTTGGTCCCTGTCAGTGGCACTAATAAAGCGAAAATTTCACTCCATTTTCCTTCAGTTAGCGTAGTCCGTGAGCCCTGACTCTCCCTTCCCTCACAAAAGCTTTCAGACAGGTGGGTCCCAGCGTCCAGGCTCTCATCCAGGTAGACATGGAGGGGAACGAATGGGAGGACTCGGTAGAGTGCCCCCCGCCCTGCAACATTCTAGAACCTTCGCCGTTGTTCTCCTGTGCCTTTCTGCCCACAGCGTGTTCCTGGAGGATTTCCTGGCCACCGGGCAAGGCGACCAAGCCCCGCAGCTGGAGTTCGAGCAGCTGGCCTTCAGCCACCCGCTCTTCATCATGTTTTCGTCGGGCACAACGGGAGCACCCAAGTGCATGGTGCACTCGGCCGGGGTAGGTCTGCTCGGGGACTCCCTGCTGGTGAAGGTGGCACCCGTCCCCGCTTTCCTGGTGGGATGCCACACAGAGATCCATCCTCAAGCGAGACGAGGGAGGCATGCTGGCCTTGCTGCTGTGACCCCATCACCACGGGGTCAGGGGTTCTGCAGCACCACCCTGGTCCCTCTGCACACAGTGATCCCTGAGGGGATCGTGAGCCCAGTGGATGGGTCTTGCCACATTTTAGACAGAAGGAAACAGGATAGATGAGAACAGTAAATATCAGCACATAATACGTCTTGGGGGAGTTGGTGTGGTTTCTCCAAACTGTCATGTAAGTGCAGGTATGGACAGGCAGGTGCAGGGCAGCATTGCAAAACTTCTGTCTGACAGTGGATTGGAGTCAAAAACTTTGAAAGACACTGGGTTGTTATCAAATCCAAGCTCAATCTGCTAACTGCATAACAGTCCAGTAATCAGGAGATGAGACGGTGAAGCATGGAATAGCAACTTCATTTAGAGAGCCAGGCATCCGAGCGGGCTAGGGCCGTAGAGCACCATGTTATCAGGGTCTGGAGGGCAGTTTCTTTGACAGAACAGAAGGGGGAGGAGATGAGGAAGTAAAGTAAAAATTTGCTGAAAATCTTGAAAAATGTCTCCTGACTTAGCCAGTTTTGGGAAAGGGATGTGTTAATTTCTTCTTTCCTGCAGCCATTCCCAGGTAGACTGGGTCTGAATGTCATCCTGTGAGCTGAGCAAAGGCTCTTTAGTTTAACAGGCAGGCAGAGGGGGCAGGTTCCCCAAGGCAAGCCATTATGTATGCTCACAGTTATAGATAGCATCTTTTTAGTGATTATAGTAACAAAAGCAATGGAGAGCAGACTTTAAGAGAAATCGTGGAATCAGATTTTGTTCTTCCTGTTAGTAGGTTACATTACAAAGTACAACTAATTGAAGGATTTCCCAAGCTGCATTAGTCAAAAGTCCGTGCTAGCAAAATAGCATGGACCAGAGGGGCATGAATGACAAAAACTTACTTCCTCGGTGTTCTGGAGGCTAGAACGTCCAAGACCAGGGTGTGGGCAGGGTGGCTTCCTTCTGAGCCGCTCTCCTTGTGTCCTCACACTGTCTTTCCTCTGTGCATATACATCCCTGATGGGGCTCTTTAAAAAATATTTACTGTTTATTTATATGGCTGCAACAGGCCTTGGTGGGATTGAACCCAGGTCCCCTGCACTGGGGGCACATCATAGCAACTGGATCACGGGGGGAGTTGTTCCCCCTGCCATCCCCAGTGTCTCTTTGGTGTCTGAATTTCCTCTTTTTGTGAGAACATCAGTCACAGTGGATGATGGCCCACCCTAACAGTCTCACTTCCTCCCCTCCTGGAGGCCCGAGGATTATCTGAGTGGAGAGACCTCACGTTCTCAAACAGCTTTCTAGTTTTGCTTGGTCAGATGGTTGAATTTGAAGATGAAGTATAAAATTTCTTTTATCCTAGCTCATTTAGCTTTTACAGATGTTCTTTGCACCTAGAAGCTGTTTGAATCCCTGCCTTAGGAAGGAAACATTTAGACTGGAATCACATTAACTCCTTATACAGCTCTTTACACAGTGTCTTCATCAGAATGTGGAAAGGAGTTAACACATAACACAGCTTTGTCATTACCTAGATTTGGATCCACGGACGGTCTGATGGAAGGTTATGAATTATAACCACCAGATGCACACAGCCTGTTCATATACAGCGGGCAACTTCCCAGAAGCCCTGGGGTGGGAGGGAGGGGATATCAGGAGCCAAAGCCTTGATTTCTGGAAGCAACACTGGCCAAGCCGAGTGGCCTCTAGGAGCGAGTTCTTCCTGTTGCTCAAACCATCCTGTTGCATCGCACTGAATCTGGAATGCCCACTCTAAGGTGTGGCTGCTGGCATCATGCTTCCCCTGGAGGGGGCACCCCAGTCCACCTGGTCAGAAGCCTAATACCCAGCCAAAGAGATGAGGGTTTTTAGAAACCTTGCAGGCGAGGGTGGGGTGTATGTGGCAAAACAACACATTTTAGGAAAAACTGAAATGCCCAACTGTACTCTTATTTTTAGTGCTACTTGCCTACTGAATGTCACTTTTTTGGGAGTGGAACATAAAAATATATTAGATCTAATGTAGTTGGCTCATAAAATCATCGTGCCTGGTATATTTAGAGTGTGGAAAAGTCAGGAAAAGTTCTTAATTCTGGCTTCACTGGGCTCTTGCACTTCCAGAGAAGTGACTAAGCGTCTTGCCTGTTTTCAAGAGTGATCTGGAGAGGAAACTTGAAAACAGCAAGATGGGACTGCCCGCACCGACTGTGCCTCCAGGGCTGTTAGGGGGTGTGGCCCTGGTTTGCTGGTTTGTGTTTTCTAAGCCCATGAAAGAGCCAGAAAACAGCTTCCTTCTCTTCCTTTTTTAAAATGAGTCTTCTTGCCTGAGTTCCAGGAAACCATGTTGCTTGTATTTCCTGACCCTCAGGGAAAGTGTTCAGACTTGCCATAAATATTTAAAAATTAAGAGAAGAACTATTAATTTGACTCATTAAGATTCATACTTTGGCCACCTAAGGCAAGGAGCCGACTCACTGGAAAAGACCCTGATGCTGGGAAAGATTGAAGGCAGGAGAAGGGGATGAGATGGTTGGGTGGCATCACTGACTCAATGGACATGAGTTTGAGCAAACTCTGGGAGATAGTGAAGGACAAGAAAACTGGCGTGCTGCAGTCCATGGGGTTGCAAAGAGTCAGACACGACTTAGTGACTGAACGACAACAACAACAAAAGGTTCATACAGAGAGAAGCAAAGGACGGTTTGGTGCTGTCCACATGGTAAGGGTATGGGACTTCCCTGGAGAGCCAGTGGTTAAGACTCTGAACTTCCATTGAAGGGGGCACAGGTTCAATTCCTGGTCAGGAAACTAAGATACTACAAGCTGCGTGGCACAGTCAAAAACAAACAAACAAAAAATGGGGGTACTGAGGAAATGAACAACGTGTGATGGGTTATGAATAGGCTGGGCTTGTAAAGGCATAACCTTTCAGGCAGAGATAAAGCTTAGGTGCCGACTTAAGTACAAAGGGAAATGGGAAGGGGATTGGCCTCAGGTTTGTCTGACCCGGGAGCTCCCAGTCCTTTCTGAGAATTTGCCATGTGAACAGTTGGTGTTCATCAGAAGAATTCCCAAAATGTGTGCTGTCTCCACACGATCATTCACCCACTGTGAGTGAGAACAATGTGGATTGTGGGATTTTCCAAAGTCTGTGACTGTCCTGGGTTGGGGCCCCTGAGCCCACAATGCATGTGCGGTAAAGCTGAGGGATCTCAGCTCTTGGAGACTGAGGGTGGCCTTGGAGAACCTCCCAGCAACCTTTCTACCACCATCTACCCAACCCCTGTGTGGCCCATCCCTAGGCAGGTTGCCCCCACTGCAGGCCTGGTTACAGCGTGCTGTCCAGGACAGACTCTGGAATAGGGGCTCTGGCATTGAGTTAGAGAATTTGCTGAGCAGGATTGCCTCTTTCTTTTTTTTTTTACTAAAGTTAATTAATTTGTCTGCTTTGGGTCTTAGTTGTCACTCGCAGGATCTTCGTGCTTCATGTGGAAGCTTTTCGATGAGGTGCATGGTCTCTAGTTGTGGCATGCAGGTTCAGGAGTTGCGGCACGTGGGCTAGTTGCTCCAAGGCATGTGTGATCTTAGATCCCTGACCAGGGATTGAACCCATGTCCCCTGCATTGCAAAGCAGATGCTTTACCACTGGATCACGAGGGAAGTCCCTGGTGGGTAGGATTGTTTCTGTTGTGCCTTCAAAGGGCTCATCTCCTAATGGCTGTTTTTTTATTTCTCTTGGGTACAAGGGTTGCAAGGCTTATTTTAATATGTGAGTCCCAAAGGTTCCTAAACATCCAGGACTATCATTGTTGTCGGCCAGCGGATGCTGTCTGTGGCCAGACTGAGTGCAGTGGTCCAGCCTTTTCAGGTTTTTGGAGGGGCTGCGTCCCCAGATCCTGCATCTGGCTTCAGGATCTTGTGTGAGAACCCCTGGGTGCCTAATCACCTGGCGCTCAGAGCCTGCAGGTCGGCAGGAGAGGGTCAGGGTTTCCTCTTGTGTCCTCCGGGAGTCTCAGGGGTCAGGTGACAGAGGGATGGGAGATTGCTCGTCATGGCAAGGCTGTCAGAACTCTGCCTCTTCCTTGACCTCTCCTGCTCCGGGGCCGGGCGTCTGTTCTGTGCGTGCCTTTGTGCCCCGGAGGAAGCTGCTTGGCTCACTCACTTCTCCCCAGGGGACGCTCATCCAACACCTGAAGGAGCACATTCTTCACGGCAACCTGACCAGCAGTGACATCATCTTGTATTATACCACGGTGAGTGCCCTCTCAGGGCGGGCTCTGGTTCACTCAGGTAGGGAGGCGTTTATCATTACTCTTCTTTTCGCTTCTCCCCCATCACATGTGTCAATAGTCAGAAGTACAGCTCAAGCTTCAGGCTGTGTGCCCCAAACCCCAGACTGCATGCATGAGACCCCAGGCTGTGTGCAGCTGACCCCAGGCTGTGTGCATGGGCCCCAGGCTGTGTGCATGGGACCCCAGGCTGTGTGCATGGACCCCAGGCTGTGTGCACGGACCCCAGGCTGTGTGCACGGGACCCCAGGCTGTGTGCACGGGACCCCAGGCTGTGTGCACGGGACCCCAGGCTGTGTGCATGGACCCCAGGCTGTGTGCACAAGACCCCAGGCTGTGTGCACAAAACCCCAGGCTGTGTGCACGGAACCCCGGCTGCATGCACAAGTGGCCTCTGCTGTGGGATCCTTCCCTGTCGATCTCCGTCTCTCCATCTGCCAGTGCCTTCTCCCCGCAGGTGGCTGCCTCCTTGAATTGGCACCAAGGTCCCTCCTTACCTTGGCCCGTCCTCCTGTGTTGACCTTGGTTGTCGCTGGGAGACCTGGTGCCCTGGGGAATTCCAGAGAAACAAAGGAGACTGACTGTTAGTTCAATTTCTTTGAGCCTGTAGAGGTGGGAAGGAGAGTCATGTGACTGAAATCTGTGGCTCAGCCGGGGGCAGGGGGGCCGGAACTTACCAGAGACGCCGTGAGGCTGGTCGGTCCTCAGCCTTGTGGAGCAGTAAAGGGACTCTGCCTCATTCAAACTGAAAGGGATTTATTGGAGGCTGAGGGGTGCTGCAGGTGCCAGGCACTGTCCCCCATGTCCCACGTGGATGGGCCACTCCAGCACCCAGTTCTCGGCTTGTGTGCGTCACGTGACCACTCTCAGCTCTGTGACCTTCCCCTCTTGTCAGCAGCGAGGCTGCAGGAGATGCTCTCCGACATGTCTTAGTGTACACGTGTGTGTTGATCCATGCCGTCAACTCCTGATGGGCAATTGCCGGCTCAGGGCATCTCATATTTGGACAGGCAGTTCTTGGCACCTTTGGCTCAGCATCGGCTGGTTTCTAGGGATCTGAGAGGCTGAGTGACAGGGCCGAGAGGAGCCCGCCCGGTGCTCGGTTGACACGTGTTCCTTTCTGTCCACCCAAGGTTGGCTGGATGATGTGGAACTGGGTGGTGTCTGCTCTTGCCACGGGAGCTGCTGTGGTCCTGTATGATGGCTCCCCTCTGGTTCCAACACCCAACGTGCTCTGGGATCTGGTCGACAGGATCGGGTAAGTAGCCGGGATGCTCAGATGCAGAGTGGCCGCTGTGAGGTTCTGCTGCTGTCTCTGGAATGCTTCACAACCCCCCTCCCCGCACCTGCCCCCATCTGTCCATGTCCCCCTCTTGGTGGGGGGCTGTGTGAGGACCTGTAGGTGCTGAGGGCAGGTGAAGTTGTCAAGGAGGGTGGGAAAGGGTGGGTGCCCCAACAGGTACTGACCAGTCAGATCTGTGTAGTGAGGAGGAGGCTGCCCCCTCCCACCCCTGGCCCAGGGGTGAGCTCTGAAACCTCGGACACCAGGAGAGGGAACATGGTCTTCTTTCTGGAACTCTGGATTCTAATAACTTGCAGAGCAGCTCAGAAGAGAGGCAGAAGAAGGGTTTATTAGAGCTGTGTTTCATACGGGGGTGAGACAGAGAGTGATCTAGCCTGAACGTACTAACCTGGTCAGGGGATGGTGTGGATCCTCTCATCCCGGGAAGGACAGGTCAGTTCCTGGAGAGTTCCCAGTGTCCGGCCTTCCCAGCAGCCTTGCTGCGAGCCCGCAGGGCTGGCCGGAGCCTCGAGGGTGTCCTGGACTCAGCAGTGTGCCCAGTGCCCTGCTGCCAGTACTGCGGGCGGGCATCTCCGCCTCCCTGCAGTCCTGTTAACAGGGTGACAGGTGGGCATCCTGGTGACAGGGGCAGAGCCAGCTAAAGTGGAACATCAGGGGAAGGGCAAAGTGGCCCCATTTATCCTCCAGCCCCCTCCCCAACGTCATGGCTAGAAACTGTCAGAAGACCCTGGTTCATTAGCACTTTGTTGGCTGATGAATTAATCATCACCGGCTGATGCATTCTCGCCGCTGTGGTTGGTGGTCACTGTTGGCCTAATGGTCGTGTTTCCAGGAATGAGAACACGGCAGCTGGCAGGGCTCCTGGGGCCCGGAAGTCAGCCACACTCTGAAATGGTCTAATTACTTTACGTTTGAATCTGCTCGCACTGGGGAAACAGAATGAGCCACAAATGTTCTTAAATCCTTGGCCATTAATATTTTAAATATAACTTTGGCCTAGGTAATATTTAAATTCTGACATTTGGCTCACGATATGAGCAAGGAAGGTTATTTTCTAATGAGATTGTTTCCAGCAAAAGGTTAATCAAATCCCTGGGAACTTAGGGGACTTGAAGATCTTCGCCCTTAATACCTGTAAGCCGGGCGCAGGTGGAGGCATTTCTGATGTGTGTGTGTGGGTTACAGGAAGGGATTGGAGGGACAAATGTACCTCCCCAGGGCTTAGAACTGATGAAGTTGAAGGCTGAAGGACGCAGGGAGACCCAGCTTTGAGTGTGAGTAAGTGCACGTTTGTGGGCACATGTGGATGAGGGAGTGTGTATATGTGCAGAAGTGTGAGCATATATATGTTTAAGTATATACAAGTGTGTGTATATCTGTACAAGTGTAGCATATATGCACTTGAGTGTAAAAGTATGTGTATGTGCACAAGTGTGAGTCTCATGCACTTGAGTGTGAAAGTGTGTGTATATGTGCACAAATGTGTGCCTGTATATGCTTGCGTGTGAACGTGTGTATATGTGCAGAAGTGTGAACATTTATGCACTTGAGTGTGAAAGTGTGAATGTGAGCATGCATGTCCGTGAATGAGTGTATGTGTGCATTTGATTGTGTGCAGGGGTGCATGTATGTGCCTGTGTATATGCATGTCTGTGTACACATGTGCCTAGGTGAGTGGGAGTGGGAGAGCACACGTGTCTGTGGGCGAGTGTGTATGAGCTGGCATGTGATCATGTGCAGGTGTGCACAGGCGAGTTTGCATGTGTTCGCAGCCCTGTGGACTGTTAGTAAGCACGTGCTGGGCCTCTGCCTTCCATCCGGGTTTGATCTGTGCCCTGGACCCTGGCTGAGCTGTGGCCTCGGTGGTCCTCCGGGCCCCTCTGACCTGCCCTTTCTCCTGGCTGGGAGGGCTGACTTGCTGGGCTCAGCGAGGCAGGTGCCACCTGGCAACCTGTGAGGGGTGCATGAAGTACACCCCAGTGCTCCGGCTGCCTACATGGGTGAGAGGGGAGGAAATAATGTCCATACATTTAGAGACAAAATCTTTGTTGATTATCATTGTGTCAGCTCACAGGCTTACTAACACGTTTCATAACTGGGCGATCATGTTGTAGATATGAACAAGACTCTCTTAAAGGATGGATTGTCCTCTTTGGGATGTTTCTAGGCTCCCTGAATCTAGCCCAGGGAACATTCTGATTGGGGTTAGGGTAGAATTCTGAAGTCTTTTTCCAGGTTTTTAACTGAGCAGGCAGTTCATGTTTAAGACTGGGAGACCCATGTTCCAGGCCGAGGGAACAGCAAGTGCCCAGACCCTGAGGACAGAAAGAAGGGACCAAGATGGGGGTGTTGGGGAGGCTGGAAGGAGGCCCTTGTGGTCTGGATATGGGAGGCAGGGCAGGAGGTGATGCTTCGTGATGAGGGGTGATGAGAGGTGTTTGAGAGGTGAGTGTGGGATTCTGAGCCCCCAGGGTTTTCCGGGCTGTACCTGCAGGGTGGTTTTTTTTCTGAGTGAAACGAGACACCACTGGGTCACTTGAGTTGAGGGAGCTCATGATCCCCCAAAAACCATGGAGTTGAGGGCACCTGAGAGGAGACAGGGCTCAGGCTGGTGGCACCTTGTCTGCGTCTGGCTCCTTGCGGGGCTCTGGGGCTTGGATCCTGACCCTGCTTCTGAGAGCGGCCTCGTTTCTCGTGGGGTGACTCCCAGCTTCACTAGCTAAAAATACAGTGTTGAGCACCACGTGAGGGCGCCTGCGCGTTGTGAACTCTGTTTTTTAAGCTGTCTTATGCAAGCCCTGGGGACAGATGGGGAGGCCTCGCCGCTTCTTCAGACAAGCAGGCCTGTGGGCTGGCCCTGGGGATGCTGTCTCAGTCTCTACACATAACCAGGGTCACAGTTTGCAGGGACTTCTGTGAATTAAACACCCTTCAGGACCACAGAGGGCCCTCGGTTTCTGGGCAGGGGGCGGATGGGGGATGAGCTGAAATCTATGTGTGGCTGGAGATCTCTGTACGTGTGACTGGAGGTGGTCCCTGGTCTTCTCTTAAAATACAGATATTCCTGAAGTGGCTGAGACCTTAATCCTCAGAGGTGATCTGGAATTAAACACACTATCTGAGTTTATGAAATTAGCTGGGGTGGGGGGCTGGGGAGGGGCTTGAGTATGTTTTCTGCTCCCCACAACCTCACAGCTTCCAAATTAGCCATCATTAGGGTGCAGCGACCCAGGAGGCATCTGAGGTTTTGGTGGTGGCAGTGTGTCCCCGAGAAATGAAGAGAATAAGGGACAGGAGGCATGAAAGACAGTGGCTTTGAGACCCCCCCCCTCGCCTCCTCCCGCCCCCATGGATTCTGCACCTCCCAACCCAGTGAGCCCTGAGTCACCCAGTGTTCTGTGTGTCTCAACTTCTGAACATGAAGCAGAGCATGGCTGTCTCCTTGGAATGAATCTTGCCAGCCAGGTGTAAAGGGATAGTTTTACTGCCCAGAGAGGAGAGGCAAGACCTGGATTTTTTTTTTTGGCCACACCGCATGGCACGTAGGATCTTAGTTCCCCTACCAGGGATCGAACCCTTGCCCCTGTACTGGAAGCATGGAGTCTTAACCATTGGACTGTCAGGGAAGTCCTGGGACCTGGATTCTATGGCCTCCTTTGGCCTCCAGGAGAAAACATCCTTTACCTAGGAAGCTAGAGCTTTCGTGTTGAGAGCTGCCTTGCTGGAAGGAAGCAGAACATTAAATAACAGCCTCTCCTTGAAAATACAATATTTATACGCACAATGTATCATTCTCAGCAAAGAATAAAGGACTGTAGAATTGAAACGTTCAAAAAGAAGGGGGCAGTTTTGTAAGTTTCATACAAACACAAGCTGATTTAAGGGAAGAAGATGGGTCAGCAATTCCAAGCATGGCACCTCTTCTAACAAAAGCTCCTGCAGCCCTCTCTACTTCCCTGGAAAATTATCTTGTGAGCTCAGAATTTGAGGGGTTTTGATTCTGTGACCTCCTTTGATCTCTGAAAGGGATCATCCTACAGTTGGGAAGACAGGGATTTTTTTTTTTTTTCAGGGTCTTGCCGCACATAGGCTTCTCTAGTTGTGGCGTGCAGGCTTAGTTGCCATGCAGCATGTGAAGTCTTAGTTCCCTGACCGGGCATTGAACTGTTGTCCCCTGCACTGGAAGGCAGATTCTTAACCACTAGACCACCAGGGAAGTGTCCCCAAAGATGGTGGGTTTATGTACAAACGGTTGTTTTAAGTAGAGCCAAAGGTTGATGAGAGCCTGAGTGCTCTGCAGACCTGTCACTGCTGGCCTCAGAGTAACAGGTATTGTAACTTGCTTTCAGCTAAATATTAAGTATCAGTTTAGCCCAGAAAAATGATGTGTCTTGGATTTTGCAGCCTTGTTCTAAATGGGTCACTAATAGGAGAAAACTATGGTTACCTGCAATATGGAAGAGCCTTGACGGGTTTCTGGTGTTTTCTTTGTGTCAGCATCACCATCCTTGGAACGGGTGCTAAGTGGCTGGCTGTGCTCGAAGAGAAAGACATGAGGCCAGGTAAGCTTGCCTCCCTGCGCATCCATCCCTGGAAATGAAATCAGATCCGCTGTGTTACCCATTTCCTGCAAGCCAGCAGAGGTTGTCCGATTTGGCTCTAATCTCTCGGTGCTTCTGGCTGTAGTGGAAACCCACAGTCTCCAGACACTGCACACGATCCTGTCCACCGGCTCCCCACTGAAAGCCCAGAGCTACGACTACGTCTACAGGTGCATCAAGAGCAGCGTCCTGCTGGGCTCCATCTCAGGTACGACCCCATTGTGCGCCTGTGCCATAGGGAGGGTTCTGGAAGGATCAGAGGACTTGGGGGCCAGGCTTGGCCACTCAGGGTGCTTACCCTCTGACCCAGCAAGCCACCCAGCTTGAATCTATTGGGATAAACAGTCAGCAGAGTGTGCTCAGGTGATGTTGCTGATTCTTGGTAGTTATGTTCCAGGGAGAAGCTGCAGACGTGGAGTTAGCAGTTCCTGATCCTTTGCCAGGGTGAGGAATATACACACGCACCTCACATCGGTTGTAATCTTAGACCCTAAATGACTGATTCTGGTAGAGCCTATTTTCTTTACAAAAGAGAAAATGAAGTTTGGGCGTGCTAAGTGACTGACCCAAGACCACCTGCTAGCAAGAGTACAGAGTGGGATTTTAAAAAAAGCAAAAATTTATTAATTTGGCTGTGCCAGGTGTTAGTTGTAGCATATGCAGGATCTAGTTCCCTGGCCTGGGATCGAACCTGGGGCCCCTGCACTGGAAGCGCAGACTCTTAGCCACTGAACCACCAGGGAAGTCCCAGTGTGGGATTCAGACCTGGTTCTGTTGTCCCAGAGCCAGAGTTTCCCCACCATCCCCATCCCATCCCCTGGTCCTCCCCAGATCCCGCCTGGTGGGCAGGGGTGCGGTGGTCATGTGGGCACAGGGTCGTCTTCCCAGGCCAGCCCAGCCCGTCTCGGGGCAGGACGCCTGTTCGGATCTCAGTCGGTCCTCCCGCCCCTGTCTGGTGAACCCAGCTCTCATCCTGAAGCAGAGGAAGCAACACTTCTGCTCACGCCCTTGTGCCTCCTTGGGGCCCCGGGGGCTGGTCCAACCTTGCTGGTCACTACAGTGAACACAATTCCCCGTTTTTGTGAAAAGCATCAGCCAGTGACTCGAGGTGTCAGGAGGATGCAGGAAGGACCTCACACTTTGATTCTCTACCTGAGTTAATTCTGCTGAATTAATTCAGCAAATCATTTTATGTTGGTTTTGAAACCCCCTGTCCTACCCCATCCATATACATAGAGCATTGATTAAGGAAAAAATACTTTTTAAATCATAAGGCTATCTTTTTAGGGGTACAAACAGACATAAAGGGGAGAGTGGACACTGGTGTCTGGATCGTTGAGTCTAGGAAGGGACAGAGTCGGGGGCTCCTTGGGTGACCCCCGCTCACACCCTCCCCACTTTCCTCCCTGGGCTGCCATCTGCCTCCATCGTGCACCTGGGTGGGCCCCTTGTGTGTCTCTGCCTTCAGGACATCCTGCCCTGCAATCACGTGGGGCCCTGTCCTTCCCGGGTGCCGCTCTAGGGGACAGTTGTCAAGGGGAGGGTTGTCCAGGTCTGGGGGTTAATGCCATTCCCTCCTGATGGCACCCAGAGTGCCTCTTAGGCACTCTGATGGCACCCTCCCTTTCAAGCTCCTTCCTGAAATCAGAGTGTTTCCCATCTAGCACAGTGTCTCTCACATGAGACTCACCCTCCTGGGACCACAGGCTTTCTGCTTCTCAGGTGATTAAGTGAATGTGAACCGTAGCAAAGAGCCTTTGCACATGACCCATCTCCCGCGGCAGTGCCTGCGGGCGGATCTAACAGGCCACACTTCGATCTTCCATGAACCTCAGTCTTGGATTTCAGTGTGACCACGGGAGGTCATTCATTGGTTTCTCCTCCAGCAGGAAGTCCTGGTCAAAAAAAAAAGTAAACCACCCAGACCTGAGAGGTTTGTGCCAGTTTCTGAATAACCTCCCTGTTCTTCCCTGAAAAGAGGCTCAACTGTCTGGAGACAGAATCAGAGAGGTTGTCCTGCAGGGCCTTTTCTCCTGGAGGGTTCACCAATGAAAAACAAGCAGTTGTCTCGGTCTTATAAGTCCTGGATCTCCTTTTGCTGGCAGGTGGCACTGACATCGTCTCCTGCTTCATGGGCCAGAATCCATCCATTCCTGTGTACAAAGGGGAGATTCAGGCTCGGAACCTGGGCATGGCTGTGGAGGCATGGAATGAGCAAGGTGACAGTCCCAAATCCTTTCTATCTTTGTGACTAGGCGTGAGTGGTCACCCGGGTGTGCTTGGATGTGTAGCTTTGCTGGGGGACAGTTCTCCGAAACTGCCCCCTCTGAGGGGCTGCCCCTCCCCACCAACACTTGCAGACTGTTGGCCTCTGAGCCTGGTTTAACCCCCACTGGTTCCCCATCTGCCTTCAGCCTAAAGCAGAGGAATAGGTGTTGGTTTGGAGCATAGACGGAGGGCCATGTGCTTGGCACGCAAGGCGGGCATCTGAGTTTTGGAAACACTGCTGAGGCTGCCCCACCAATGGCCTCACGTCCTAACCTTGGTGAGGACCCAGGGTGAGATGCAGGCACAGGGGCAGTGTGCTGCCATCCATGCAGAGTTTAGAAACATGCAAAACGACATTATTCAGATGCACGTGGATGTAGTAAAAGTATTAATACACACAAGGGAATAATACAGTGTTCCAGTCGAGGGAGAGATTTGGGAGAGTTGTGTGGGGAGGGATTAGCATGGCTTGTGGTGATGTTGGAGGGCTGGGCAGGGGGGTGGGACCAGCTCCGTAGCTTTGTGTGTGTCTGAAATACTGCATAATAGCTTGTGGTTTCAATAAAGGAGAGAAAGGGCACCGAGGTATGGCCGTGGTGTGTACTCAGTGTACGTGTCGCCCCTCCCCGACCAGGAAAGGCCGTGTGGGGGGAGAGTGGTGAGTTGGTGTGCACCAAGCCGCTCCCCTGCCAGCCCACACACTTCTGGAACGACGAGAATGGCAGCAAGTACCGGAAGGCATATTTCTCCAAGTTCCCAGGTGGGTCGAGGATGCAGGCGGAGCCGCCCAGATTCCCGCCCGGACTGGGCCTTTGGGGTCTAATTCTGGATGCACCCTCCGCCTTCCAGTCCCTTCTCCCTGCTAAAACCTGGTGAGGCCACTCCTGGCTCCTTCCGCCCGAGGGGTGATGATGAATTTCTGATCAGTATCTTGTCACTTGCATCTTGAAGCCATCAAATGAAACTCTGATCTGGGTTTGGTGTACTCTTAGCATCCTCCATGCCCCCTGCTGCTTGGCCCTGAGCCTGGCACCTGGGAGCTGGCACGAGCCGCTTGTTTGCCTGTGTAGGGACAGGGCTGGGTTGGGGAGGGGGCAGGTTCTCTGCTCGCTTACCCAGACTGGTGTGCCTATTCAGGGAGAGATGCCTGTGCAATAGGTGTCTGGCTGGGGTCTCCTCTGCCTCACACCCTGTCATCCAGTCCTCGTGGAGGTGATGGGAGAAGAGAGATTTTGAGTGGGATAATTAATTTCAGGCCCGTCACTCACTCAGGCTGCCCTCTCCACTCATCTTTGGAGCGGCGCCCTGCGCCTGAGCTGGGAAGTCTCTTTATTTAAAGCTCTGATCCCTGCCTCCTCCTTATCTTATTTCATAAGCAACCTTGAGTTATTGCTGCTATATAATTCATAATTTAGCAAGCCTTCTGCTCCAGAGTTATTTATACCAACTACTTGCTCTCTTCAATCTCTAGAAAGGTGATTCGATTTTGCATAAACCACATGTGGAGAATCAGAAAGTGGCAGGTGACTGTCAGGGGTAGAATGTGCCACCGATCCCTCTTATTTCTCTGCTCAGCCTTGCGTTCCCATGTAACATCCCATCTGAAAGCCATTGTACCCAGCATAGCACCTCCCATGTGAGTTAGCAGGAACATCCCCTGCCCATGTGGCCGGGTCCTTATTGGATGCCTGCTGCGTTTAAGCCCCACCTCAGATCCTGCCAGGGTGTAGCTGTTGTGACATACTAAGGCAGAATAGAGAGGGAAGGGGAGGGAGAGAGATGTTCCTCAAATGATCCTGATGAGTCAAAGGCTCCTGTCTAAGGAAAGGATTAGAACCTCAGCTTGAAGACTCATCTAAGAAATGACATCTCTTCATCTTCTCAGTACACTGCTCCTTGAAAACTGTCTTTGCTGTCACTTTTTGTTACGTATACAAGGGTTTACATAATAGATGTCTCTTCAGGATTAATTTCATAAAAAGCCTTTTTTTTCTTTTGGCCATGCCACGTGGCTTGTGGGATCTTAGTTCCCTGACTAGGGATGGAACCTGTTCTCCTTCCAGTGGAAGCACAGAGTTTTAACCACTGGGCAGCCAGGAAAGTCCCAGAAAAATCTTTATTTCTGAAGTGCTGATATTGAGAGTCCCTTGCACTGCAAGAAGATCCAACCAGTCCATCCTAAAGGAGATCTGTCCTGGGTGTTCATTGTAAGGACTGATGTTGAAGCTGTAACTCCAGTACTTTGGCCACCTCATGCAAAGAGTTGACTCATTGGAAAAGACCCTAATGCTGGGAAGGATTGGGGGCAGGAGGAGAAGGGGACGACAGAGGATGAGATGGCTGGATGGCATCACCGACTTGATGGACATGGGTTTGGGTAGACTCTAGGAGTTGGTGATGGACAGGGAGGCCTGGCATGCTGCGATTCGTGGGGTCGCAAAGAGTCGGACACGACTGAGTGACTGAACTGAACTGAACTGATATTCCTTCTTGGAGAAAATGAATACTCTGTGACTTGTGATATTTCCATTTTTGCCTTGGCTGCTAGGAAGCTCAGAGCTGCCATCATTGCTTTGTTGGAACTGTCCTCTCACCCCTGTGCAGTTTCTGATTCTTTCAATCATCTCATCATACAGTTGGTTTGATAGGTAGCTTCCTCAGATACTTTCTGGATGTAGATGGGATATATGAATAAATACAAAGAAACACGGGCAGATGAGATAATGGGATCTGAAGCTACTGGTCATGGTCAGGAAGGACATAGGTTGAACTTAAGTCATTTCATCCAGTCTCAGGCTGATTGGGTTAGCACTTAAGAGTCAAAAACTGTCCTAAGAATTGGGAAGGATGAGATGGTGTCCGTGAAGACCCTGAGCCAGTTTTATCTGCTATTTTCTCTTTGTGGATCACAGGAACTCTGGGGCTTATTTCAGGAGGCCAGGCTGCTGCTTGCAAGTTGTGCAGAGCCAGTGGGGCCATGCTCACAGATATTCACATCCGGAGCGCCTCCTCTATTTGTGGGGCTGATCCTGGGCTGGCTGTGTTAGCTCAAGGAGGGAGGCCTCTTCCTGGCAGTTCCCACGAGAGGCTTGGCTTCTCTTTGACCAGACCCCTTGGGTCTGTTTTTTGCTGCGCCCAGGACGAGGGCCTCTCCTTGAACATCACCAGCCCAGGGCCCAGGTGTACGCTGCAAGCCACACGGGGGCCGTCAGGGCGCACGCTGTCGGTGTCCCCTGATTCCTCTTCTTCCGCCCTCGGTGCATCCTGGGTTTTCCTGCTAGTTAAGTCTCTGTCCATGTGGCTGGTCCCTTAGTTCAGGCTTCCATTACTGGGTCTGGTATAGTAGCCTCCCACCCGGTCCTGCTGCTTCTCTTTATTCTGTTCAGAGATGGGCCTTGACTCCTCCAGACCTGCTCCGTTAGCCGCCCCAGGCTACCCTCTCTTCCTCCGCTGGGGCTTGTCCTTTGCCGCCCTTTTCTCAGAGGCCCCCCTCGAAGCTTCACTGACCTGCTCAGTCCCCGCTTCACATTCTCACTGCTGGCGTCACTCTCAGCCCATCAGTTCCTCGCTGGTGCTTGCAGGAGGGGCGTTTCTCACGTACTGCTGCATCTCAGAACTGGCTGTAGGGTGGACCCCACTAGAAGGCGTGCCTGTGGGGGTGAGAACTGTTAGTCCAGTTCTGCCCCCAGCCCCACATCACACATGTTTCTGGGCCTCGGCTCTGTCTGTTGATAAGAGTTACATTTCTGACATACGTACCTCAGGCGTCTGTCCATGGCTCCCTCAGGGTGACCAACCCCTCTGCCTCCCCATAGGTGTCTGGGCGCACGGCGACTACTGTAGGATAAACCCCAAGACCGGGGGCATCGTCATGCTGGGCCGAAGGTGAGGGGTCCGCACACCTGGCTTCTCTCCCCTGCAGACCACCTGGGGAGTGGGGGGTGCTTCCTGCATCCTGGGCTCCTCCACTGGCCCAGTCTGGGGGTGGGCTGACTGTACCCCATCTGGGCCCTTCCTGTGTCAGCTTCCCGAGGGCGGGTCCGGCGTGATCCACATTTCAGAGCCCCAAAGTGGTGGATTGGGAGGCTTTACGGGGTGGGGGCGAGGCCTTTGGCAGATGTAAAGCCTGCATCTGTCTACAGTAGCTACGGTCCTTCCCAGAGTGGGAGTGTGGGGGTGCTGGGGTGCCCGCACCTGGGAGAGGGGTACTTGTACAGATGGGAGGGGCAGGAGGTGGCAGATGCTCCCACACAAGGGGACCTCTTGATGGCTCACTTTGAGTTTAGAAGGAGAAAGGTTGGTCAGGATCAGAAGCTGGGGAGGCAGCCGGCAAGGACTGGTGGGCATGGTGTTGTTGTGGGAAGGGGGTGACTGTCCTCCAGCCCCCACAACTGGCCTCACACTGGAGCCACCGTGTGTTCACGACCTCTTCTTTCTATGCAGTGACGGCACGCTCAACCCCAACGGAGTGCGATTCGGCAGCTCGGAAATCTATAACATTGGTGAGCATTTTCCTTTCTCCTGGAATAGTTCTCAGGTCATCCAGGAGGGAAGGAAGGAGGGTCCTAGCAGGGAGCCTGCTCTCCAAAGATCCCACCTTTTGACATAACTGGCCCATTTGCCTCTGGTTGTGAGAGTAGACATGTATGAGCTTGTCCTTCTTCCTAGAACATGCCTCGGCCCACACTGCCTGTAGCTTGTAAAACCTCAAGACGGGCTTCTTAGGGTCCTGTGGCCCACCCCGCTTCCATTACGTCTCAGCCTTGAGCTCTGTGGGGTTGGTCATTCATGTCTACCCTTCATGACTGAAGAAAGATCCACAGAGAGGTTGTGTGATTGTTGAAGGTCACACAGCACTATTCAGCACAGATAAAGACAGTGCACAATAGAGAAAACCACGGGCCTTCAAAATGCTCCCACTAAAGCCACGGAATCAGCCTCTCAGGGAGGTGGCCTCATAGGGATGTCAGAGCCCCAAGGTCACGTCAGGGCTGTGCAGCCAGGATGGAATCTTGATCCCTGTGATTCCAGCCTTTGTTCCAGTGCCGGAGTCCCCACCAAGGGGCTTGCTTCTTTTTTCTTTCTAAATTTGTAATTGAAGAAGTAAGCGTGCATGGCTCCCTGTAAGACGTCAACCCTTCCAGTGTGAGCTGCGGCTCTCTGCTGGTGATGGGTGTCCTTCCATCTGTTCCCCAGAAGCTCTTCCCCAGGGTTGGGGGCTGGAGGAAGTGATGGTCCCCATCAGGGTGGGCTGGTGTGAGAGCAAGGCCCTGGCCCTCGCCCTGTCTCCGCAGTGGAAGCCTTCGAGGAGGTGCTGGACAGCCTGTGTGTCCCGCAGTACAATAAGGATGGGGAGGAGAGGGTGATCCTCTTCCTGAAGATGGCTTCCGGCCACACCTTCCGGCCCGACCTGGTGAAGCGGATCCGTGAGGCCATCCGCCTCGGCCTGTCCGCCCGGCACGTGCCCAGCCTCATTCTGGAGACACAGGGCATCCCGGTAGGGCCCCCCAAGAGCCTGCCTGCTTCCGGAGCACTCGGCTAGACGCTTGCTCATGTTTTATATATAGTTGTTCCATGTTGCCTGGCAACCCCATCCCCATCCTTTTTTCTTTTCTGCCATCCCTCTCTCTCTCTCTTTTTTTTAACCCCTCGTAAATTGGATGTAAGGCAACTTCTGCTAAACACTGGTCTTCAGAGGGCAAGCAGGCCCAGCCCAGCCCGACCGACTGGTTTTTCCCATGTGGTTTTAGTGTGTTCTCAAATTATTAATGCGAAAATTAATTTTAACTTTTTAAAGAGCCACTGGGATGCTGTTGCTCTTGCCTTTTAATTTTTAGTTCTGGCCTGCAGAAAGAAGATTTGAATCTATTTCGAGGCACATCTCCAGAAAGCGGGCCCCTCCCTTGCCTTGTACTCTGTTCAGGCTCTCAGTGGGGGAGGAGATCAGATCACAGCTTTAACTTGCCTTGCTTACAAAACCAATGCCTCTGTCAGCACAGAGAGGAGATGCCCTGTGTGTGCGCACACCTGTATGCATGGGTACACACACAGTACATCACGTGTACAGGTGAGCCAAGCTTGTACAATAGCTGTTCATGGGTGTGGGGGATGGGAGCAGGTTAACTGGGTCCCCAGAGGATGGAGAGTCTTCACGTTAGGAGTGGGGATGTGCTTGCTTGCTTGTGAGTGTGCAGTTGTGTCCAACCTTGTGAGACCACATGGATGGTAGCCCACCAGGCTCCTCTGTCTATGGGATTGTCCTGGCAAGAATACTGGAGTGGGTTGCAATTTCCTCCTCTGGGGGATCTTCCGAACCCTGGGACCTAACCCGCATCCCCTGCATTGTAGGTGAATGGTTTACCCACTGAGCTATCCAGTAGAGATGTGAGGTATTAGAACCAGGGCTTTTTATACCATCCACACATTTATTCTCCACTTTGGTTATGTGTAGGAAGGGCCCTGTGACCTGGAAGTTCTCTGTTTCTCTCAGTGGGTGATTCTTTTCTTTCCTTCATATTTATTTTTATTATTTATTTATTTGGCTGCACCAGGTCTTAGTTGCAGCGTGTAGGATCTTATTCCTTGAGCAGAGATCAAACCCAGGCCCCCTGCATTGGGAACATGGAGCCTTAGCCACTGGGCCACCAGAGAAGTCCCTCAGTGGGTGACTCTTGGTGACACAGTGGGGACAGTGGTTCTCCGGGAGAGAAGGGACTTGTTTTTCTTTTTATGGTTGCACTTTACAGCATATGGGATCTTAGTTCTCTGACTAGGGATCAAATCCCCACCCACTGCAACCTTGCATTGGAAGCTCAGAGTCCTAACCACTGGACCGGCCAGGAAGTGAGAAGGGGCTTCTTGAGTCAGTGACACTTACTGACTTTCCCTGGTGAGGGTCTCAGGTGTCCCTTCAGTGGATCAGGTTCAGTCTGCACCTGAAACACTTCAAGGAACTAGAGTGTGATCGTCCCCTTGGCCTTTATTTTGTCGAGAACGAATCTATCTCCTTTGCTATCAGAATGGTGAATTCCCAGTCTGTATCTGCTCATGCAGCCTTTAACTGTATGGATCACAATAAACTGTGGAAAATTCTTGAAGAGATGGGAATACCAGAACACCTGACCTGCCTCCTGAGAAGTCTGTATGCAGGTCAAGAAGCAACAGTTAGAACTGGACGTGGAACAACAGACTGGTTCCAAATAGGGGAAGGAGTAGGTCAAGGCTGTATATTGTCACCCTGCTTTTTTAACTTATATGCAGAATACATCATGTGAAATGCCAGGCTGGATGAATCACTAGCTGGAATCAAGATGGTAGGGAGAAATATTAATAACCTCAGATATGCAGATGACACCACCCTTATGGCAGAAAGTGAAGAAGAACTAAAGAGCCTCTTGATGAAAGAGGAGAGTAGAAAAGTTGGCTTAAAACTCAACATTCAGAAAACTAAGATCATGGCATCTGGCCCCATCACTTCATGGCAAATAGATGGGGAAACAATGAAAACAGTGAGAGACTTTATTTTTGGGGGGCTCCAAAATCACTGCAGATAGTGACTGCAGCCATTAAATTAAAAGACACTTGCTTCTAGGAAGGAAAACTATGACCAACCTAGACAGCATATTAAAAAGCAGAGACATTATTACTTGGCCAACAAAGGTCCGTCTAGTCAAAGCTACTGTTTTTCCAGTAGTCATGTATGGATGTGAGAGCTGGACTATAAGGAAAGCTGAGCGCTGAAGAATTGATACTTTTGAACATTGGCGTTGGAGAAGACTCTTGAGAGTCCCTTGGACTGCAAGGAGACCCAACCAGTCCATCCTAAAGGAGATCAGTCCTGAATATTCATTAGAAGGACTGATGCTGAAGCTGAAACTCCAATACTTGGGCCACCTGATGCTTAGAACTGACTCAATGGAGAAGACCCTGATGCTGGGAAAGATTGAAGGTGGGAGAAGGGGATGACAGAGGATGAGATGGTTGGATGGCATCACCGACTCAATGGACATGAGTTTGAGCAAGCTCCAGGAGTTGGTGAAGGACAGGGAGGCCTGGCGTGCTGCAGTCCATGGGGTCGCAAAGAGTCGGACACAACTGAACAATTGAACTGAACTCAACTGATCTGCTCACGAGAATAGTGGAGCGATTTATTGGAAATGGAGAATGACCCCAGCCTGTCTTTCCATCCTCAGCCAGGCTCTTGTCTGCTTCCTCTCAGGCACCCAGCTCAGCTCTCTCCTCCTCTGTCTTCCTGTGGGGTCATGAGTCCTGGCCTGTGAGGTCCTGTCTAGGATCCCTGGAGATTTTACAGGCACCCTCATATTCTCAGATCCCCATGGTCCAAACTAATGAAGCACTTAGGAGAAGATTCACCCTGTGTCACCAGGCTGGCGTAGGGGGTCTGGCTGGGCCACGGTGCTTGGGACTGGCCATGGCCAAGGTCACAGCTGGGGATCTGGTCACACCTAGGGGAATGTAAGTGGGCCTCTGAAGCCCTGTGTGGCTGGAGGGCCTGGTGGCCACAACTGCCCTGGTCCTAGCAGGTCTTCGTCCCTGGTCACGGCTGACATACTGGCCCGTCCTGACTAGAGGCTCGGACTTACCTCCTGGGTGGGGGAGAGGAGGGGTTCCAGCAAGAGCTGGGAGAACTGCTGCTTCCCCCTGCCCTTCTCACCAGGAAGCAGGAGCAGAATTTCTTCTAAAACAACACCTTGTTTATTTTGTCAGCCGATGGAAGATGTAAGTTGTTAGCTCTCACGAGCCGTTACTGGGGCTTTAGTGCTCAGGAGCACAGAAAGCACATGAGACACTTGCATTTCTGGGCAAGAGGGCCTGACGCCACCCCAGTGACAGGCGGGCCCTCATGAGCCTGCACTCAGATCTGAAATTAGTTCACACGTCAACAGAGGTTTTCAGTGAGCAAATTTTAATTACATCTCAGGTTAAAAAGGAGAAAAAGCGCCAGAGCAGGGAGCGATGAGAGCACTGGCAGCTTTATTAAAGAACTCTGTTTGTTCCAGAGTTTTCCTGGCCCCTAAACATGCCAGCATGGCTGCCAAATGCCCATTGGAGTTAAAGATGAAACACACATGCTATGAATTTCAGATGGAGCATTGGCCATTTGGAGAGAGTCTGATTATAGGAAAAGCAGTGTCACATTCATTCAGATGACAGTTCTGGGGGAAGATGGGGTGGAAGTTTCGAGAGGCTCTTGGATGACACTCACTTTTTAGTGATTGGAGATGGAATCACATGAAGCCAGTCCACTCCTGGAATAAGCTAGCCTTTCTATTGTAATAGAGTGTAAGAAAGTAAATATAAATAATGAAAACGCAGTGTAATAGTGAGGCACACCCAAGAGCCGTGTGTGGGTTAACTCACAGACTTGGGCTGGGTGCTATGGCCCCATTTTACATTTGAGGAGATAGACTTGGGTTAAAGAACTTGCCCACAGTCACCCACTGACAAAGACTTGCTCTCAGAGTCCCAGATTGTGATCTTTTTGGCTTGGATGTACCCAAATATCAGAGCTAAGGAATTTTTTTTCCCTTTCGGGTTTTCTTTTCTTTTGCCTTTAAGATTTTTTTATGTGGAGCATTTTAAAAATCTTTATTGAATTTGTTACAATATTGCTTCTATTTCATGTTTTGCTCTTTTGGGACCCTGAGGCATGGGGGATCCTAACTTCCTGACTAGGGATTGAACCTACACACCTTGCCTTGGAAGGTGAAGTCTTAACCACTGGACCAAGGAAGTTCCTGGGATTTTTTTTTTTTAATATTTATTTTTAATGATTGATTTATTCAGCTGTGTTGGGTGTTAGTTATGGTATGTGGGATTTAGTTCCCTGACCAGGGATTGAACCTGGGTCCCCTGTATTTGAAGTGCAGAGTCTTAGCCATTGGACTGCCAGGGAAGTCCCTCCCCTTTGGGTCTAAACAGTCTTTCTGTTTGCCCTCCTTGCCTCTCCCCCTCACCGGCAGTACACGCTCAACGGCAAGAAGGTGGAAGTGGCCGTGAAGCAGATCATCGCTGGGAAGACGGTGGAGCACCGAGGGGCCTTCTCGAATCCCGAGACCCTGGATTTGTACCGGGACATCCCTCAGCTGCAGGACTTTTGAGCCGAGCTGGCCAGCATGTCCCTCAGCCACATGCACCTGTACTGTCATTTTTGTACATTCAAGAAATTACTTAGAAACCTACAGCTCTCTGGAAAGGGGTTCAAGCCAAGTCCGTAGGCCCAGGGAAGAACCGTTCTCCGTCCCGCAGGTTCATTTGGTGGGTTCCCGAGTCTTCCACCCACCATTGTGGGATCCTGACCTTCAATGATCCTAGAGGGTGTGTGTTTTCGCATACTTGCAGGGAGGAGCCAGGCTCACCTGTGTGTGTGCCATTACGGCTGATGCCCAGTCCCGTCCAGGCCGGTGGGCATCCTGTGACAGCTCAGCTCTGGGGATGGACCAGCTTGCAGCCTTGTGCTGTGGTCCATTTTGATCTCTTTCTCCCCTTTATCTTCTCCCGGCCCTGGCTGCCGTCCTTCCGGGCCCACCTGGCTACTGTAGTGTGTTGCCCGTCATGGGACCCATCCCAGGGTGACTTTACAGCATCTCACAGCAGATGGTCAGCACCTGGGCTGACCGCTGTCCCGTCTGTGTGTCACAGGTGGAATCCGGGCAGCTCCTGGGGCAGCCGTGTGTCACCCCAACTCTGGCGCCCCTCAGCAGACACAGAGCTCCAGTTGCCTTTAGAGAACGACTGGGTTTCATGTTTTAATAGGATCTCTTTATTTCGTGGATTTTTGAGTGGTTTAAATTTTTTAATGTTAATTAAGTGTGTGGTATGTGGGCGTTTGAAGGTGTGGGTAATGTCCACCCCATGAGGGGTATCACTCAGGAATGTGGGCAAGCCCAGGTGGTGGGTCACCCTGGTCCTGCCGAGGCAGAGCTGCTGGGCTTCGGGGGACGCGGCTTCACTGCACAGCCCTGCCCAAGGGCCCAGGAGCCGCACATCGGCAGCCGGGTGTACTTTTGAATGTACTTGTCAGTTTGGCCTCTTAACACTCTCCTGTCATCATAATGTTCACTTTTGTATTTTTTAAAACTGAGCACAGTGGAAAACTTTCTTGAACCCTTTTTCTCTAGTGGATTGTAAAAACAGAGCAGATTGCTATGAGGCATTTGATGCAATAAACATATATGTATATACACACAGAGAGGCATGCTCGCGTGTTCTCTGCAGTGGGTGCTGGATCTGAGGGGGTCAAGCTGGTGTTGATGGGCCAGTGAGATGTTTGGTCCAGATGGTGAGAGCATGTCCTGGGCCCCTGGTATGTAGCGGACCTGCCTGGTGATCAAATGGCCCCAGAGCCCTTCGCAGCATGAGGTCACACCCCAGAGGGGGAGGACATGCTCACCCTGGACCCCCCTGGAGCTCAGAGCCACCGGGGTTCTGGTTGGCACTCCTTCACCATCGCAAGACCACACGTGTGTCCCTTGGATGGTGTCTGGCACTATGTCATAACATCCAGGTCGGGCCCAGCAGGGCTTATTTTTCTCATGTCACGGGAGGTTGAAAGCAGGCTGTTCTTGGGGCTGAAGGGCCCAGCCCCTCCATCTCCTGGGCTCCACCGCCCTACCATGGGGCTGCCCACCTTCAGCCTCCCGTCTGTGTCCCAGGCAAGATGAGAACTGGGTGAGAGGCAAAAAGCCTGTCCCTCTTCAGCTTTTATCATCAAAAGAATGGTTTTTCTGGAAACCCCACCCAGTGCACACCTGCTTATGCCTCAGGGGCCAGAACTGGCCACAGGCCACCACTTGCTGTGGCGGGGGTGCGGTGGGGTAGAGTCCGGAGAGCTGTTTTTAAACGAGGCCTATTACATTTGCGTACAGACCTCTTTTTTTTTTAAGGCATTTTTTCTTTCTTTTTTTTTTTTTTATGGTGGACCATTTTTAAACTATTATTTTTTTACAATTTTGCTTCTGTTTTGTGTTTTGGTTTTTTTTGGCCACAAGACATGTGGGATCTTAGCTCCCTGACCAGGGATTGAACCCACACCCCCTGCATGGGAGGCGAAGTCCCAACCATTGGACCACCAGGGAAATCCCTGCAGGAATTCCCTGCAGGGAAATCCCTTTTATTGTAGGCTGTTTTATTGTGCTTCAAAGATACTGTGTTTTTTTAAATTTTTTTACAGATTGAAGGTTTGTGACAACCCTGCATTGAGCAAATCTGTTGGTCCTATTTGCTCACTTCGTGTCTCTGTGTCACGTTTTGGTAATTCTCCCAGTACTTCGAACCTTCCACCAGCAAAAGAGATGACAACTTGCTGAAGGCTCAGACAGTTAGCATTTTTTAGCCATAAGTATTTTTTAGTTAAGGTACATGGATTATTTTTTAGACATAATGTTATCACACAGTTTAATAGACTACGGTATAGTGAAAACAACCTTTGTTTGAGGGCTTCCCTGATGGTTCAGCCAGTAAAGAATCTGCTTGCAATGCAGGACAGGAGACATGGGTCTGATCCCTGGGTCAGGAAGATCCCCTGGAGGAGGAAATGGCAATCCATTCCAGTATTCTTGCCTGGAAAATTCCATGGACAGAGGAGCCTGGCGGGCTACAGTCCCTGGGATCACAAAGAGACACGACTGAGCATGAATCTTTATTCACGTTGGGGGGAAAATCAAAAGCTTCATGTGACTCACTTTATTGCAGTGGTCTGGACAGAACTGTCCATATCTCCCAAGAATGCCTGTTTTTAGTTTCCTGTCACTGTTGGAACAAATTACCAGACACTTAAAATAACACAAATTTATTACAGTTCTGGGGATCCGAAGGCAGGTCTCACTGGGCTGAAATCAGTGTCAGCAGGCACTGTTCCTTCTGGAGGCACTAGGAGGGGCCCTTGCCTTCCAGCTTCTGGAGATGCCTGCCTCCTGGGCCGGGGGCTCACTCTTCATCCTCAAAGCCTGCTGCATAGGACATCCCGGCCGCCCTCTTCCACTTCTGTGCTGACACTGGGCTCACTTGAATAATCTGTGATACTCCCCCTATTTTAACATCTACTGATTGTTGTTTAGTCACTAAGTCATGTCTGACTCTTTCGACCCTATGGACTGTAGCCAGGCTCCTCTGTCCATGGGATTTCCCAGGCAAGAAAATTGGAGCTGGTTGTCATTTCCTTCCCCAGGGAATCTTTTCAACCCAGGGATTGAACATGCCTCTCTTGCCTTGGCAGGCGGGTTCTTTACTACTGAGCCAACTGGGAACCCCAGCATCTACTGATTAGCAAGCTTAATTCCATCTGAAGCCTTCAACTCCTGCTGGCCACATAACCTAACGTTTTTACAGGTTCTGGGGATTGGGATGTAGGCACCCTTTGCTGGGGGTGGTGGCTGGGGGAGGCAATTATTCTGCCTACCTGGCTTTGCAAACTCAGCGAGGATGCCGTGGGGGAGGAGGGGGGGCAAGTGGTCATCAGGAAGGCAAACTGTGAGCCCTGAGTTGGGAGAGTGAGCAGTCGGGACCCCTGGTTGCTGCCCATCCCCATGTGACCGGTCTGCTGGCCTGCCAGCCTCCTTCCCAGGGCTCATGTTAGGCCTGGGACCCCTCAGCCCTCTCCTATGGCCCACTGCTTGGAACCCACTTCACACTGACTGTGCCTGAGGAGTCGTTAAAGCTTCATCGCCATGGCCTTTAGTTCTAGCAAGATGTCCCAGGCTGGCTGAGCCCACGCGTCCTTATTAATAAGCCGTGCCGGACAACTTCATTAACGAGAGACAGATGGTCTGAAACAACAGTCACTCCATCGCCTGCTGTGCGGGCTCTCCTGTGGAGTGCCTTGGCCCGAGCATCGCTCTTCAAAACCCCAGCTCGGGCCAGCCAGCTGCACTGAGCCTTCCTCCTGGCTCCTGTCCTTCCAGCTCCCAGCACACGTGTCCCGGTAGCAGCTCCAAGGGAGCATTAAGACCTGCAATACCATATACTAACGCATATATATGGAATTTAGAAAGATGGTAATGATAACCTTGTATGCAAGACAGCAAGAGAGACGCAGAAGTACTGAACAGTCTTTTGGACTCTCTGGGAGAGGGCGAGGGTGAGATGATATGGGAGAATGGCACTGAAACATGTAAATTATCACATGTGAAACGAATCGCCAGTCCAAGTTCGATGCATGATACAGGGTGCTCAGGGCTGGTGCACTGGGATGACCCAGAGGGATGGGATGGGGAGGAATGTGGCAGGGGGGTTCAGGATGGGGAACACATGTACACCCATGGTGGAGTCAAGTCAATGTATGGCAAGACCAATACAATATTGTAAAGTATAAAAAAAAAAAAAAAAGACCTGCAGTGCAGCCTGGCAGGGCTGCCATGATCTGTGCCCCTGGTCGCCTCCCACGAGTGACAGAAGAGAGGAGGGAAGGAGAAGACTGGCAAGCTGATTTCTGGAAAAGTCTTCCATCTACCCAGCAACCTATCCCTACCACCCCTGCCCGGCGAGCAAAAGGAACTGCCCTCCCCCCGCCCCCCGCACCACCCTGTCACCCCAAGCATCACTCGTGCACAGATCACAAGAACACTTTGGTTCATGAAGCAAATAGATGTTGAACACACAGCCCGGGTGATGAGCCTGTCGGATTCGGCCGGGAACCCTGAACTGCATTGACGAGCCGAGGTTCTTTCTGAGCCACGACGGCCATGAACATCAGCACAAACTCCATCTAAACACCTGCTGCCGTCTTGTCCCCAGACCTTGAAGGCTGTCACAAACGGAAAAGCAAAGGCCCGTTTAGACGTTGTTTAAAACACATTATGAGCTAAGCACTGACTCCTTGTCACGGCTGATCATCTTGGAGCACGCTCTTGGCCATCACAGCGGTAAGTGGATGGTCTCATAATTTCATTAGATGACTTCCAGGGGAGAAGCAGTTGTTAGTCAATTCATTATGCCCTGGAACAATTTCCAGACTTCTTCATTTCAGAACACCCTCCCTGTGCTTCCTCCTACTCTCTCTTTCCTTAACTTGAACTGTAACTCAAGAGTCAAGCTGTGTTTGGAGAGAGGGAAAGGTACAGCTTGGACCCAGTTTTTCATTTTCTGGGTTTTGAGCTTGCTGGTCTCGTCATTCATACTCACCACTTACCTGCTTAGTGTGGTCTCATCTGCTTGCTTTTTTCAATCACAACTAAGGATTTTCCTGGCTACAAGTAACAGAAACTCCAATCGAAACTGGGTGAAGTGCAAAAAGGGTATTACTGGCTCACAGTTTTGAAACCTCAAGTGCTGGGACTAGCTTCAGGTATGGCTGGATCCAGGGGCTCCGTGATGTCATCGGTGTCCTCTGCCCCCACACCAGCCCTGCCTTCCTCTGTGTTGACCACATTCTCAGATGGCTTCTCCTCTTATGGGGACAGATGAATACTTACAGCTCCAGGCTTATGTCCTCACAGGGCTGAGAGAGGAGAAACATTTCCCCCCCCTGTAATAGTTCCAACATGAATTCTCGTGTTGAAACTCATTGGACTATTTGGATCACATGCCCAAACCTGAGTCAATCACTGCAGCCAGGAGGAGAAAATATGCTGATTGGCTAAGCCTGGGTGGCATGACTAGCCAGCAGGTGTGGAACTAGCTGCTCCCAGTAGCTGGGACTGAGCGTGAGGGAGATGGTCCTGAAGGAGCATGTGGCTTTCCTTTAAGAAGCAGAGGCAGCAGCAACCAGCCCTTCGTTTCTTTTCATCTCTCCTCAGGTGCCAGCTCTTCCTCTTCTCTCCTTTCCTCCCTGCTTCCTTCTTTGTCCAGGAGAGTCTCTCTAACCTCCCGCGTCTCTCTCCCTGTTCCCGGGGTCCTCCTCTGCACCACAGAATTTCAGGTTGCTGGGAAAACAAGCTGGGTCCTGGGGACGTAGAATAGATTTCCAGATTAAGAAAATGGGGGTGGGGCGGGCAGACCATTTTCTCCATTTTCCCATAACTTAAATTCTGCAAAGTAAAGCTCTGAAATCTAATGTCTGTCCGTAAAGTTGTGGGAGATGCTGGACTGACGTTTAGATGCCCCCCTCCGCAGCCTAGGGGAGGCTACAGCCAAGTGGGCTGAAGGGCTCCGCCCCCTGGGGGGCTGGCAAACTGCCACTCTTCCTCCAGCCGTCACCTGGGGCCCCGGCTCCCCTCCCCTCCCCTCCCGTCGCCCCTCTCTTTCCCATTCA